TCCAGTCTGGGCGACAGAGTGAGACTCCAACTCAAAAAAATAAAATAAAATAAAAGTATAGGCAAGTATTTATTGAACTTATAGTATGTGCTCTATACCACGAAAGTGTGAGGCTTGTTGTTCTCGGAATGAAACAGAAGGAAGGTGCAGTTCTGTATTCAGCCTAGACGAGGGATGGATGAAGATGGAGAGAATACAGACATGATACCTCTCTCTTGATTTCCTGAGTCTGTAAGAATGTGTATCTGTGGTTGTAAGGAGTCTCCAATTTAGGTATGAGTTTGTGAGCCGCTTTTTTGTGTTTGACATATCTTGATTACAGTTGTTATGTTTGTGTGTTTGCCTGTTTCCCTGCAAGTGAATTGGTTCTTTGGTTTGGTTTGTTTGGTTCTTTGGTTTGAAAGCTATTGTGAGAGAGGGCTCAGAAAGGTGGCAAGGATTCTCAGCTGTGGCTAATACACCAGGAGCAATGTCTATTTGGCTAATGCTTTTTAGTGAACACGAGTAGACAAGAGATTGTGAGTTTGGATGGGATAGAGTGAGTACATGCAGAAGTGGGTAGGTAAGTGTGGATGCTTGGGTGGAAACTTGGGTGGGATAAATTGGTAGTGGGGGGAAAGAAAGGAAAATAGATGTAGTCAAAGAAATAATTTCTGACTGCTAAAACTTGTGAGTCCTATTTCTATTTGGAAGAATAAATTAATATTCTGAGAAACTATTATTTGTAAGTGGATGAAAAAATTCTTACTAATTTTTTTTCTTTTGGTTTCAGAAGTAGTACATGTTCTCTGTAAAACATGTAGGGAAATAGCTTATGCATAAAGAAAATAAATTTTAATCTTCACAGTCCCATTACTTTTCACATGTTCTCTATCCTGCCAGTCATTTGTCCATGTGTGTATATAATTTCCTTTTGGGGGGGTAAAATGGGGCTTCATGTACATTATTTTTGGAAATTGTAATTTTTTCCTTATCACTTAGTCTTCCTCAACATCATTTAGGGTAGGGTACAGAGCATTTATTTTGCTGGGAGAGTTGTGGCTGAGGTGATAATTTCCTGGAGCTGACAGCTGGTGCAGTGGCCTCTGATTGGTTCCTGGCTTCCTGGTCAGGAAGGTAGATCCTTAGTGGGCCAGTTCTGTGGTGCTGATCCAATAATTATGCTTGGATGCTTAGCCTGCATGGTTCTCCTCCAGCCCTACAAACAATTTTATGGTGATCTAATTCCTTGTATTAAATCCCTTTCTGCCTAACCTGGCTAGGGTAATTTCTGATTTTTGTAGTTAACGTCTAAGTGTTAAGTACTGTATTTTATGGTAATTTTAGATTCCCGTTCAGTTGTAAGAAATAATACAGAAAGATCCCATATGGTAATTTTAGATTCCCATTCAATTGTAAGAAATAATACAGAAAGATCCCATATAACTTTTAAACTTAACGTTTCTCTTGCAAAACTATAGTACAGTATTACAACCAGGATATTGACATTGATACAGTCAAGAAACAGAACATTCCATCACTGCAAGGATCCCTCATGTTGCCTTTTGAAAGCTACACTTACTTCCCTGCCCCACCACTTCTTCAACCATCCGCAACTGCTAATTTGTTCTCTATTTCTATAATTTTGTCATCTTGAAAGTGATATATAATTAGAATCATATAATATCTAACCTTGGGGATTCGCTTTTTTCACTCGACATAATTCTCTGGAGATTTATCCAGATGGTTGCATCTGTCAACAGTTTGTTTCTTTTTATTGCTGAGTAGTATTCCATATTATGGATATACTACCATTTGTTTAACCATTCACCCACTGAAGAATATATGAGTTGTTTGTAGTTGTTGGCTATTGTAAAAAAAGAAAGATGTTATATGCATTTGTGTACAGTTTTTTTTATTTTTTGAGTTGAAGTCTCACTTTATCACCTGGGCTGGAATATGGTGGCATGCTCACGGCCACCCCAACATCGACCTCCAACGATACTTCTGCCTCAGCCTTCCAAGTAATTGGAACTACAGGCATGTACTACCACGCCCGGCTAATTTTTGATTTATTGTAGAGATGAGGTCTCACCAAGTTGCCCGGGCTCAGGCAGTCCACTTACTTCGGCCTCCCAAAGTGCTGGGATTACAGGCTAAGCCACTGAGCCTGGTTTGCTGTACATTTCTTTGGGCTTCTTATGTTTGCATTTCACTCAGCTTCTTTCATCTGTAGGCTGTTCGTCAAATTTAAGAGTTTTCAGCCATTATTTCTTTAAGTACTTTTTTGGGCCTATATTTCTTTAGTGGACACCAGTGAATGAATGTTAAATTTTTTGTTATTGGCCCACAGTTCCCTGAGGTTAACTTTTCAGTCTCTTTTCTCTCTCTTGTTCTGATTGTGTAATTTCTGTTGTTCTGCTTATTGATTCCTCACTTCCTTTCATTCTGATATTGATCCTATCCATTGGACTTTTTTATTTTGGTTGTTGTATTCTTCAGTTTTAAAATTTCCATTTGTCCGGGCGCAGTGGCTCACGCCTGTAATCCCAGCACTTTGGGAGGCAGAGGCGAGAGGATTGCCTGAGCTCAGGGATTCGAGACCAGCCTGAGCAACATGGCAAGACCTTGCCTCTATAGCATATAAAACAGATTAGTCGGGTGTGGTGGTGCACACCTGTAGTTCCAGTTACTTGGAAGTCTGAGGCAGAAGGTTTAGGCTGCAGTGGCTGTTAGTGTGCCACTGCACTCCAGCCTGGGTGACAGAGTGAAACTCTGACTCAAAAAAAAAAAAAAAAATTCCATTTGGTTCTTCTTTGTATTTTTTTGCTGAGATTTTCTATTTCTTACTTGAGGCTTTCTATTTTTTCAATTGTTCGTGTGTTGTTAATTGTTGAAGCATTTTTTTATCCTTACTGCTTTAAAATCTTTGTCAGATAATTTTAACATCTGTGTCACCTGTGTGTTGGCACCTATTAATTACTTTTTTTCAGTTAGTTTGAAATAGTCCCAGTTCTTGGTATGATGAATGATTTTTAAATGAAATCAGGAATGTTTGTATTTCAAACTTTCTGTTTGTCTTTGTCTGGCACTACGGTGGCAGGGGAGGTGGAACTGCTGCCTTGTAACTGTCAAGAGGAGATAGAAGACCAGGCTTCGTCTGTCTGCCTCTGTTAACATCTGGGAAGAGAGAAGGGGTTCCTCCTTCTTGGGTGAGGGTAGTAGTTCTGGCTCCCCACTGGATCTCCACTGATACTGCAGGGGAAGGCAGAAGCATACAAGGAGGGCTTTATTACTGGTTGGTGGGGCTAAAAATCCCAATTTCCTACTTAGACTTCTCTTATACCCATCCTGGTTGGGATAGAGGGGTACCTCCTTCTAGCCATTGATGGAAATCTATGCTCCCCACTTGGTCTTTGCTGGTGTGATTGGGGCTGCAGGTTTTTTGCTGTGTTATCTGGCTAGAAAGAGCAGTTATTATCTGAAAGCTTTCTATCTTCGTAGGTTGCCATTTTCTAGCAGGAGCAGGCTTTTGGGGTGTGTGGGTGTGTGTGTGTGTGTGTGTGTGTGTGTGAGTGTTTGATCTCCACCAACTGGTGTTTCCAGTTTGCTGATTTCTTGACCTCCCAGACAGATATATGAGGGGAAAAAAATCCCAGGGAGCTTACTATCTCATCACTCCTTAGATCCTAAGGTCCCTGGCCAGTCTGCTTCTTCAGTATGCCTTTCAGAGGATTGTTATGTTTGTTTTATAATGTCATGTCCAGGATTTTTAGTTGCATTTAGTGGGAGAAATAGGGGAAAGTACATATACTCCCATCTTTCTGAAAGTAGGAGTCTCCAAATTTCACATCTTTTTTGGCTACCTTAATTTTCTAATCTACACACTGTTATATAGGACTGTTATAAGAATTAATTGAGGTACTGTAATTTATGTAAAGTGTTTACTACTTTCCTTGGTATTTAATAAGTCTCTAGAAAACAATTGTTATTTTTTAACAGTCTGTAATTATTATATATGTATAGATTTTTTAAATGTATAAGTTACATCAGAAAGTTCTAGTTTTGCTAATAGTTCTTATATAAAATATGGTTAGTGTCTTCCACCTTCCAAAAATAGGACTATTCTCTGAAATAGGATTTTTTTCCCAAAGGGAAGAGAAAAGAGAGGCAGAAGCTCCATGTGGATTTCACACATTTTCTGCCATCATCGTATACTATTAAACACCCTTTATGAAGCATCATTTCCATTCTTAAAACATTCCTTCTCTGTTGAAGCCTTATTTAATGTAGTCCTGTCTCAATTTTTCCATTTAGCACCAATGGCAAATTTACATGGGTGCAACTAAGCAAGCAGACACATGTACAATCCATGTGTTGTTGTTTGTTAAGTTGCATCAGTAATGCCTCATTTCCCAGAATGGACTCTGGCATGAGACTAGGTGGTATAGAGGCCAAATCCCAAGTTGACTTTCTCATATATCAAGGGGATCAGGTAACAGTGACAAGCTGTTTTAGGGCTTTGCATATAATGGTGACTATGTCTGCTCAAAAAGTAGTTTGGAAGTCAGCAGATACTCATATATTCATATCTTCTTCCCAGCAAAAGATATGGCCAGTGTGGTCTGGAGTTGTGGGAAGGCTGTGATCCTCATTCAAAGACTTAGAACATTGCCTAGGCGAGTATTGAAATGTCTGCTCTTCAGATTTGATGTATTTTTTTATTCATAGGGATTCATCTACGATCTTATCAACTAGAGGGAGTCAACTGGCTAGCCCAACGCTTCCATTGTCAAAATGGCTGCATCCTGGGAGATGAGATGGGCCTGGGGAAGACCTGCCAGGTAAGTTACTGAGGGATGACCACTGTTCAGCACCACTGAAATAGCTCCTTACAACTCACTACCATCTTTAGCCGTTAGCTACAGTATGTGTTTTTATACTAGTAGGTGAAATGCCTGAACCTTTAGTAAGAGTTCACAGTCTTAGAGTGTATTTTTTCTAGTGGTAGCAGTGGTTTCAAATTGCGTCCTACTCTTATCTCATCTGGCTTTTGACGTTTATCTGTGAGAAGACAGGCCTGGGTTAAAATTGCAACTAATAGACCTGGATACATTTTTCTCTGTGTAAAGCAAATATACTTGCCTAGGAATCAAACAGACTGTGACCTCCTTAGCAATACTTTTTGTAGTTCAATGAATCATTCCCACATTGATTTCTCATTCTCAGTGGGAGGCGAGCCTCCTTCCTATTTCTCTATCATGTTAGAGGAAGTGCTCTGTGTTTTTCAAAATGACCTGACCATCTAATGGCCTTAAAAGGAGGTAGGATAGAATCTAGAGACCTAAAGAATCAGACAGCCTCCTTCAACATTGATAAGTAGATGGCATGTTGAAATGTTCTGGCAGGACAATCACCAGTGCTACCCTGGATTGACAGGTGTCAGTGGTGGTCTTGGATTGTTGGAAAGGCCATAAATTACCCATTGGGTTAATCACACAGGGTTTGTTTATCTATAGGATACTAAAGAAAGTGCAATCAGGATACACAGCAGAGGAAGTTTGATCAGAAACCACAGAGATACTCATTTCCCAATCCCAAAAAGGTTTCATCAGTGAACACATAGAATAAGCAAGGGTCCCATCCATCCCTTTAGAAACTCAACTGTCCCCACCAAGGCTAACCTTATATACATAAACATCAAACTGGAGCAGTTCTGCAATAGACTAGTCTGACCATGTGCTGCAGACTGTTTAAGCCAGATATATTTTATCAATCTCAGAGTTATCCAGAATACAGTATGACCTCTTAGTAGTATACCATGACGTACCTCATTTATAACCCTCGACTTTCCCAGACAAGACAGTTCTGGTCATAGTACATTCGTTAACTGAGAGCTCTATAACAAAGATCAGTTTCACAGATGTTTCTGGGATCCAGGCTGACTGTCTCTGGCATCAGGAAAGGACTGTCCCTGCAATCTCCTTTGCCTTGGTCATTGGAATTGCTCTACTGACTTCATTCAGAACTAGCAAATTCACTTGTCCTTTTCCCAGGGTGTTCTCATAGTTCTAATTTATGCTCCCTAAAAATATACCACTGCCATATTTGTTTGGTTAAAATTTTGTAGAATTTCTGCATCTCTGTTCATGAAGGATATTGGCCTGTTATTTGCTTTTCTTGTAATGTCTTTATCTGGTTTTAATATTGATGTAAAGCTAGCCTTATAGAATGAGTTGAGAAGTATTTCCTTCTCTCCAATTTTCTGAAAGAGTTTATGTAGAATTGGTGTGTCATTTCTTCCTTAAATGCTTGGTGGAATTCACTAGTGATTCCAAATTCATTTTGAAGACATATCTGGTTTATAGTAATAAAAGATAAGCTTTCTCTAAATTGCATCCTTAGAGAAAGCTAAACAGAATAGTCTTAATCCAGTGAGCCACTTATGAAAGCATTGCTCTGGGCACAATTTGGGCTGGGAAGTCATAGATAAGTTAAAAGGAAATTACATCCATTATAAAAAAATTAACTGCCACCCTATAATCACAGCATGCAAACCATAATGAGTAGCAATCTATGTATTGCATGGTTGAAATTATAATGCGTGTATAGTTTGCATTTTGTTAATCTAACACTGTCATTGCAATTTTTCATTTTGTTGTATTCTTCACAGTCAATATCAACTGGCTGTATAATATTCTATCAAAATAATTTATCATAATTTACTTAAATGTTTTACAGATGAAGAATGGTGGTATTTTTCCCCCTTCTTTTTGTGCTATTTAAATTAATCTTGATGTGCACATCTTTGGGCATCTGACTCTTTCAGAATTTTGAATTATATCCTTAGGATAGATTTTTCTCAGAAATAACTCAGCATTTGGAGATGGAGCCTCCTAACACATTTTGGTTTTAAAATAGGTTGTTATTTTCTCTATATATCACAACATTCAAGTCAAAAGTGTATACTAGAATCTTCTGAGGTGTGCCTGTTTGCCATTACAAAGATTTGTATTTTATGCCTTTCCTTAAGCTTAGGAGGATTATTTATTGTCTGTTTTTCCTGGTAGAATGTGTGCTCCAAGAGAGCTAGTTTTATCTGTTTTGTTTACTGTTGTGTAACTGGACCTTAGCACTGTACCCTGCAAGTAGAAGATGCCCTGTAAATACATGTAGAAGGAAGGAAAACTGTAGGGGAGGGAGGAAGTTAGCAAGAAAGGAAGACATCCCTTTGGAGAGCCTGGCAAGCAGTGTAGGGCCATTTGTGATATCTTGGCACTTGCTTTATGTTTACAGAATATTGCTGATCTTGTCAATTAGTTGCATTATTTTCACTGATTTCTGTTGTCTTTTCTGGCTTTTTTCTTTGCATAAGAGGTTCAATTACCCAACTATTGAGCCTCATTGTTCGTTAACTACTGAAGTAATTGAATATCATAAATTTCTGTGGCAAGTATATTGAAGCTTGTATTATTTCACTTTAGGAATGGATTACCCTCCTAATATGTGGAAAATTGTACATTATTTCTTTGTAAAATAAGTCATATATTAGAGTTTATGTTCCCTACTGGGTTGTGGGAACTGTGTGGTGGTCTCTTATTTTAAAAAAGTGATCAAAATTGCCTTCTTCTTCTGTGTTCCAGACTATTGCTTTCTTCATTTACTTGGCAGGAAGATTAAACGATGAAGGACCGTTTCTAATTCTTTGTCCCTTGTCTGTTTTGAGCAACTGGAAAGAAGAAATGGAGAGGTACAGAGTAGATGTAGCTGAATTTTTTTGTTTATGTTGATTAAGATTTTTTTTGTCTGGATTATGTGTAAAATATGATAAAACAGCATGCCGTCATAATCAGTGAGTTTGTTCCAGAAAACTCTGAATTGATACATTGTAGGAAGACACTTAGGATATGATATGGGGAGGGTCCAGTGCATGTGATTATTAACTATTTGGCAGTTTAGCAGTCAGTTCTCATTTTTAGTAAATGTTGACGAACTAAAGGAGAAACCTCCTTTTTTTTTATAGTGACATAGGAAGTAAATAACATATTACTAAGTTCCTGTGTAACATGTTTTATTTTTAGAGTCTGAACAAGACCTACTTAAATCTGATCCTTCTATCTATTCTCACAGGAACTTGCCCTGAGGTTTAACCATTACTTTGGATAGATTCAGAGATCAGGCTGGACATGGTGACTCAAGCCTGTAATCCCAGCACTTTGGGAGGCTGAGGCAAGAGGATTGCCTGACTCCAGGGGTTTGAGACCAGCCTGGGCAACTTGGTCAGACCTCGTCTATACAGTAAATAAAAAAATAAGCTGGGCATGGTAGCGCACGTCTGTAGTTCCAGCTACATGGAAGGCTGAGGGCGGAAGGATTGCCTGGGCCCAGCAAGTCGAGGCTACAGTGACCGTGAGCATGCTACTGCAGTCCAACCTGGGCAACAGAGTGAGACTCCGACTTAAAAAAAAAAAAAAAGATTCAGGGCTCCAGCACTCTTTCTGCTTGTGGGATCTCATGAAGTCTCCACATTGCAATCCTTCCAGAAAATGTAATTTTTCAGATAATCACATCCTGTTCCATGACTCTAGTGGCCACGTTTATCTACCTCTGTTCTTGGATTCAGATTTGCTCCAGGTCTTTCCTGTGTAACATATGCAGGCAACAAAGAGGAAAGAGCCCACCTTCAGCAAGACCTGAAACAGGAATCACGTTTTCATGTGCTGCTGACTACCTATGAGGTATCCATTTGTTGCTCTACAGGAAGAACTCCTAACCTGTGATCTTAGAAGCTGTAGATTCCTCTGGAATTATATTTAAGTTTTTTTGAGAACACACATTTTTCTGGGCAGGTAGTATACCTTCATCAGATTCTCAGAGACTGTGATCAAAGGAATTGGAGAATTATTGTGCTTCAAATTACTTCTTTCCGTTACTCTCCTGGGAGATCAAGGGGGATGGCTTCCTAGGGAGGTAGCACTTGAGCTGCCTCTTGGTTGATGAGCAGAGATCAGGTAGGCAGGCAGGGGAAAGGGTTTGTTACTGGAGGACGAGAGTGGAGGACACTTCGTTCCAGTCTCATTTTAAATCCTTGTTCTTCAAGCTCAGACTGTCTGCATCACTGTAAGCAAGGCCTTTCACTTAACCATGCCTCCCTTCTCTTTGTTTATAAGATAGTACTACTTACAAATTATACTCAGAGCTTTTTTTAACCTAGTGAACAAATAAGACTTAGATAAATCTCGTAGTTTAAGAGTCCACAAAAAGCTAGTTTATTAATATCAAAGTCTGTCAATACCAATCTTTGTAACATGTCTTTCTTCATTTTTCAGATTTGCTTGAAAGACGCATCATTTCTAAAATCGTGAGTAGGTGTACTACTTCAGAAATTGTGTTGAACGCATCATGAAAACCACATCTTCACATTTTAGTGCTTTACCTCTACTATGTCTGGTGTGTCTTCCATGAGTTCTGTTGATGGAGAATCCTATTTCTAGCCTTCCATCCGTTAGCTTTATGTCCTTGAGTTAGTTATTTAGTTTCCATGCACTTCAGCATCTTCATCTGTAAATTGGGGATAATTGTTTCTCACTTTGGATGGTTGTTATGAGAATTAAATTTAATTAAAGATACAAAGTATGGTTAATAGATATTAGGTTCTTTACATTGCAACTTACCCCTTTCAAGGACTGCTGTTTGAAGATTTTACTGTAATAGGAAGTAAAGAATCATTTGAGCCATTTCCTAATAAATAAAAAAGTAACAATCAATGCTATAGAATTAACTTTTTAGAAAGGGAGTTTTAAGTGTACTGCTCATTAGTTAACTTTTAAGCCTCATATTGGCCCATGAAGTAGCAAACTTAGATGTAACCCTTAATACCACCTGATAATAAGAATGACATGTTACAGTAACATGGTCATGTCAAGATAACAGTTACAATGTAGATTAAAGAAGAGTTAGATTTTAGGTAATTAAGAAAGAAAGATAATGATGACAGGCTTTCATTCTCCATAACCTATGTAATGATGACATGGTTAGATGAGTATTCTGCATCCTTAAAATTTGGGTTTTTGTTTTTAAGATACTTTATCAATAATTTTAAACGTTATTTATCATCCAGGTTCTTGTGAGTTAGATTTCATCTTATTTTGAAATACTAGAGGCGAGGTCATAGATTTCGTGACTTCTATCCAGTATTTCCTTTAAGTGAGTATATTATCTTTTCTTAAGAAGAAGATATGCTTTCTTCTTTTTTATTATTAATATCCAGCTTAGTATTTGTTGAAGGTCTCTCATTGGAAAGACAAAGTTCTGAGAGTTACTAACAATACCAGAGAGGTAAATCATAGAACTACCCTAAGAGGACATAAATTCCAGTAGAGAGATGAGAAATAAACAGATAACCATAAAACATGAGACAATAAAATTGGGACATAAATGTTGTTGAGTGCTTTACATGAACCATCCCATTTAGTCTTCATGAAAACCCTAGTAGACAGGTGTTACCCATTTTACAGGTGAGGAAAGTAAGAGATTGGGGAACCCATCCAGGGTTACATTGCTGGTAAGTGGCAAAGCGGACATTTAAACCCCACATTCAGTGCTTTGGAGCCTCTTTTTAAAGACTACTCAAAGTATCAAAGTGTACTGGAGTTTTACATTATATAGCAGAAACATAATCTTTCTATCTCAGATAATCTGTTTTGAATGCATTTTCAGGTGGATTGAAGAACCTAAGTAACAAAAGGACATGTATAATGTCTCATAATAGGAATCTCAACATTGTAAATGTATTCTTTCAGTATAGTTGGCGAGGCTATATTGCATGTTACTGTATGGCACACTCTGAGAATAGCAGGGAAGTATAATATAATCTTTGCCCTGAAAAGGTTTATTATGGAAAGTTCAGACTATGCATGTTGACAATATGAAAAAGTTAAAATTTTGGGGACAGTAGACAAAATTTTTAGATCAAGAGGATTAGAGGTTACCTTGTCAGAGTCTCTATTCAGTGTTGAAATTCCCCTCATCTCTTCCCTTTCAGGGAGCATCCTTTAAAGTGTCCTTTGATGAGTGATTCGGCCTACTTCCTTTTGCTGAGCCAAAATCCACTTCCCCACAGCCTGTCATTGAACAAGCATTTATTGGATGCCCGTGTGTTTGGTTTTTCACTAGGCAATAGGGCTGAATTGGTTTTGAAGACTGATTCAAACAGCCTTGTACTATACTACAGATACTTTCACACCTTGTCTTACAACATTGTCCAACTTCATCTGGGCCCTTATTCTTGTAGTCCTACTCATGCTACCCAGCCCTCTGCTTGGACTTCCTGTGTTCTCTGTGGACCCTTAGATCTCCCTCCACTTACACTCATCTCAGTTAGTAAATGGTAATTTGGTAGGCATCTCTGTTCTTCCACCTGTCCTCTGTCTTCTGGATTTTCTCTTTAGCCTCAGAGGAAAAAGGCTTCCTCCATATAAGGCCAATCTGTACTCAAAATCTTTCCCTAATTTTTGAGGAATTTTCCTTTTAATAGCTAATATCTTTCCAATATTCTATTTACCATATATACACTTAGTTTTTTAAATATAAAAATAATGTAATGGGATTCCAGAATGTTTACAAAGTAAAAAGTTAAAAATCTTATAATTTCTACTTTATTACCTTTTGTATGGTTTACACATTTGTTAAAGAAAAAAAGAAGGATATACAATATTTGTATCTTTTTGGTTATGGTATGAGTCTTTTTATTGTAACATAATCATTTATCATTTAGAATACTATATAATATTTCATCATCTATTATTAGACATTTAGATTATTTTCCATTTTTTGCTGTTTTAAATAATGCAACTTAAAACATATTCATACATCTTTTTTCTTTTTCCTTTTTTTTTTTTTTTTTTTGCACAGCTTCTTGAGTAGTAGTTGTCAAAGGATATGTTTTTACGACAGAAACTTCTTGAGAATTTGCTGTTATAACCTCGTATGCTACCTAATGTGCCCTGGCAACAGCCACCAATGACCTCCATATTAACACATCCAATATCTTCCTGGACATCTGTAACACTGGATCTTATTCACCACTTTCCCATTTTAAATTCACATTTATTAAGTTACTATGACACTACCATCTCTGTTCTTTCTTTGCTTGAATGTCAGCTCAAACTTTATGACCTTAGTCAAGTCACCTAACCTTTCTGAGCTTATTTTTCTCAATGGTAAAATGAGCACAGTTAAGTCTACTTACCATATTTCTCTTAGACTAAATAACACATAAGGCCATGAGTTTAGTGTCTGGCACGTAGTAGGATAGAGAGTCATAAACGTTTACTTTTCCTTTCTGTCTCTATCTCTGTCTTCTTCCTTTCTGCATAGGTGTTTCCCATCTTGGAAAAAAATACCCTTAATTTTACTGTCTTATCCATGTATTGTCTTACATACATGGAAACCTCTCAGATAGGAAGGTAATTTGGCTATATTTCTAATAGAATGGGCTTCCTGTTAAGACTTTCTAAAAGCAGTCATAGTTTTGCAGTAAGACTTGGTTGTGAAATAAGTGTTAAAGTTACACAAAACTGAAAGCTTGGATTTTCTCTCACAGATTCCATTGGAGTGTTCTTGTTGTGGATGAAGCTCACAGGTTGAAAAACCAAAGCTCTCTGCTACATAAGACCCTTTCAGAGGTAAATTTTCAGGATAGTCTTAGTTTTTATATAATCCTCCTTTTTAAAATAGACTTTTTTCCCTTAAAAAAAAAAAGCAGTTTTAGGGTAAGTAGTAAAATTGAGCAGAAAGTACAGACATTTGCCACATGCCCCTGGTCCCCACACATGTATATCTTCCATTGTTATCAGCATCGCCAGAATGGTATATTTGTCACTCGATAAACCTACATTGACACATCATTATCACTCAGAGCTCCTAGTTTACATTAGGATTCACTCTTGGTGTTGTACATTCTGCTGATGAAAAGTGACATGGTGGGAGTCCTACATTCTAGCTCTCTACCCATTGGTTGTGTGTCCTTGAGTTGGTTATTTAATATCTGTGCACTTCAGTGTCTTCATCTGTAAAATGGGGATAATTGGTTCTTACCTTGGAAGGCTGTTATGAGAATTAAAATCAATTAAAGATACATAGTGTGGCTAATAGGTATTAGGTTCTTTACATTGCAACGTACACCTTTCAAGGACTGCTGTTTGAAGGTTTTACTATAATATTCCTATATGAATCATTTGAGCCTTTTTCTAATAAATAATCTAAAGTACAGTCAGTGCTATAGAATTAACTTTTTAGAAAGGGAGTTTTAAGTATACTTCTTTTTAGTTAACTTTTAAGCCTTGTATTGGTCCATGAAACAGAAAACTTAGATGTAACTTTTAATACCACCTGATGATGAGAATGACATGTTTGACAAATATGTAATGAAATGTATCCATCATTATAATATCATACAGAGTATTTTCACTACCCTAAAAATCCTGTGTTCCACCTAGTCATTTCTCCTTCCCCCCATAATGCTCTTAAAAAAAAAATTAAAGGCCTGTATAGAGTTAATTAAATTGAAATAATGTTTTTCAGTCACGTTTCTGCAAGACCAGTTGAACATTTTGTAGATGACAAAGTAGTACTTAATATGGCCTAACTTCTGGCCGGGTATGGTGGCTAACACTGTAATCCCAGTACTTAGGGAGACTGAGGCAGGAAGATTGCTTGAGCTCAGGAGTTTGAGACTAGCCTGTGCAACAGAAGGAGACCTCATCTTTACAAAAATATTTTTTGTTTAAATTAGCCAGGTGTGGTCATGTACACCTGTAGTCCCAGGCTTATGCAGGAGGATCGCTTGAACCCAGGAGTTGAAGGCTGTGGTGAGCTGTGATTATGCCAGTGCACTCCAGCCTGGGCAACAGAGTGAGACTCCAACTCAAAAAAAAAAAAAAGATTACCAGTTCACATGGGGTCATGGGGAAACCAATTTCATACCACTGAATATTACCTTCAATCTAAGTTATCTTTACCCTACCATTGAATGTGATACATTTGCTTTCATTCCTTTCTCTTGATCTCTGGCATCATTCTGGCAAAGTAGATATAATTGTAGCCTAGATTTGCCCTATTGTCTGAGGAGCCAGTGGAATATGAAGTACCCTTCTTCTCACTGACCTGGTAAAGGCTTTTTCATTTATGAGACCACATATGTTAATTTATGTGATGATAATTGAAATTTGGTCCCTGTCCTATAGTAAACCAATTAATATATTTAGAGGTCATTTGGAGGAAAGTCTTAAATCTGAATTCTGTATTTACTTGCTTAAAAGTTGTAGGTTTAGAGTTTTAATGCAGATGTGGTCACTGTCTATTAGTAGCCCAGTCTCAAAGATTGCTGTCCCCTGTTGGGATCCCCTCTGCTCCCTGGTGTCCTTTGCCTTCTTTACAGAGACTCTCAATGATATCTTATTCTAAGAGGTTGTTGTCTTAGTTTGCTTACCACAAACTAGTTAATTTATACTTATAAATTTTTTTTTTTTTTTGAGTTGGAGTCTCACTGTGTCGCCCAGACTGGAGTGCAGTGGCCGCTCCCGGCTACTGCAGCCTGGACCTGCTGGGCTCCGGCGATCCTTCCGCCTCAGCCTTCTAAGTAGCCATAACCACAGGCACGCACTACTACGCCTGGCTACATTTATTTATTTATTTATGTATTTATGTATTTATGTTTGTTTGTTTGTTTGTTTTTGAGTTGGAGTCTCACTCTGTCGCCCAGACTGGAATGCAGCGGCCGCTCCCGGCCACCGCAGCCTCGACCTGCTGGGCTCCAGCAATCCTTCCACCTCAGCCTTCCGAGTAGCCGGAACTACAGGCGCGCGCTACCATGCCCGGCTAATTTTTGATTTACTGTAGAGATGAGGTCTCGCCAAGTTGCCCAGGTGGGCCTCGAACCCGCGGGCTCAAGCAATCCACTCACCTCAGCCTCCCCAAGGCGCGGGATTACAGGCTGAGCCACCAAGCCCGGCTACTTAGAAATTTAATTTCACATTGTTCGAGGCTGGAAAGTCCAAGATCAAGGTGCTGGCACAAGGCATAGGTCTTCTTATTGAGTCCTCACATGGCAGAAGGTGGATGGGCAACAGGGAACAGGAGAGCAGGCTAGCCAAACACTACATGAAACTTCTTTTATAAGGGTCTTAATCTCATCCATGAGAGAGGACCCCTCCTGGTCTAATCACTTCTTAAAGACCTCATTTTCTAATATTATCACAGTGACAACACCTAAATTTTGGATGGGGACACATTCAAAGCATAGCAGTTATATTCTGGTGTTTGGCCTATACAAACTGCTTCATAAACTACCATGGCAGTTTACTAATTTACAATGAGAGAAGTAAGAGTAGTAAAGGAATGTGAATTTGGAGTAGGGAAACTTAAGTTTTGTTAGTCCCAGAGCCTTTTCTTGTTATTCATAAGGAAACTTATGATTCAAAGGGATTAAATGAGGAAATTGTTCAGAGTCATCTAAGCATTCTTTTTAGGTGAGGTTTGAATTACAGATAACTAGTTGGTTAGAAAGAAAACACATTTATTTAGTGGACTTAGAGGTGAGGAGAGGGGTGATGCCTTTTTTTCCCCCTTCCTAATACTGTTTTCAATTTGTATTGGAAACAATCTAAGTGTGAGGTATAGGGAATTGGTTATACAATTTATGTTATGTTTATATGGTGTTTATGAAGTAAGGCTGCTATGAACAATTATGTACAATAATATTTAATAGCATCAAAAATGTTTGCAAAATATTTTACATAAAAAAACCTTACAAAGTACTGTATATAAACAGGGTTTGTCTCTGGATCTTTTTTACCCAGTTACAAGTTTTTCTGCTAAAATGGACACTACTTTGAATCAAAATGCTAATTCGTGTCATAGGATAAGTTGACTGTTTTAACTAGCAATGTTGGTTGGCTTTGTGGTATCATGTTCTTTGTTCACCTCAACTCTACTTGGTTGAACACATGCTATAAAAATGTGACTTGGCTATTGGGAGCATTTTTTTTCAACCAGTTGAAAAAATGTATGTAGTACTTGAAATATTACAAAAACATTGCCTAACAAGTAGAGCAAGCATGAATGTGTAGACATTGATTAAAAACAAGCAAACAAACAAAAAAGAGATTGCCAAAAAACCTTTTTTAATGTAAGTTTTAAGTGATTGTGTTATTTCATTTATCATTTTTTCATATTACAAAAGCAATGCCTTCTTAGACCTCTCCCGAATCAATATATATAAAGACAAGAAAAGGAAAACATACCAATAATTCCTACATTAATACATGGATTTATATAACTGCCATATCCTTTGCTGTGTGTGTACTTATCCAAAATAAAATATAAAACATATATACTTATGTATACATGTATATAACTTTAAAAATAAAAATGTTCATTATTTTAAATATCAGAGTATATGTGTGAATATGTATATACATACATATTGTATTTATTGTATTTTCTTTTTTTTTTCTTTTTGTGAATTGGAGTCTCACTTTGTTGCCCAGGCTCTGAAGTGCAGTGGCATGCTCACAGTTACCCCAGTGTCAACTTGCAGGGCTCCAGCGATCCTTCCGCCTCAACCTTCCAAGTAGCCAGAACTACAGGCACACGCTACCACACCTGGCTAATTTTGTATTTATTGTAGAGATGAGGTCTCACCAAGTTGCCTGGCTGGTCTCAAATCCGTGGTCTCAGGCAATCCACTCTCCTCGTCCTCCCAGAGTGCTGGGATTATAGGCTGAGCCACCAAGCCCAGCCTATATTTTTATATTTAAAATAATATACATATATAAGATATGACTTTCTGTGTGCTGTATTGTTTAATTCTAATGATTTAAATTCTTGCTGATGTCACTTTAAAGGTTGTTCTTTGCTTGACCTAATATCTGTTGTTATTTCTTTTCCTAACCTTTTACTTCATTAGTGTCTTATTCTTGGTGTTCTCATCTGTTGCTGAAAATTTAAAGAATTGTTTTACTTTTGGGGCTCAGTACCGCTCTATGTTCAGAAACATCCAGAAGTCTTGATGTCTTGCATCTGGCACACCGTAAAGTTTTACAGACATTCTCTTAGTACAGCTCTTCTTGCTTTTTGCTTGTAGTGGTGGGGCCTGACCCTATAGCATTGGGTTCTCAAATGGCATGAGTATGTGCAGTGTGTCCCTAATGCTTTCGTGTATTGCCCATGTAGGTAGTAACATATAGTTTGAATCCTCACATAGATTGAATAACAGTAACCACACTGAATACTCATGTAGTCCTTGATAGTTCATAAAGTGTTATTACTTACACCCCAGTAACAGTATCTTCTTCACAGGATTGTTGTCCCCTTCTTATAGTTGAAACCGAAGAGATATTCTTTCCTATATCAAATGGTAGTATTCAACTTGAACCTGAGCTTTCTGATTTCAGGTCCCCTTGGTCATTCCATTAAATCATGTCTGTCTCTGTATGGATAAAGGTTGTGATGGGTAACTGTCTTATATCCCAGTGTTACAGATTCTTTTAAAATTTTATTTATTCATGTATTTGAGTTCTCAGTAGTCTTCAGACTCCTGTTGACCGGAACGCCCATCCAGAACAGCCTCCAAGAGCTCTACTCCCTCCTCAGTTTTGTGGAGCCTGACCTTTTTCCTAGGGAACAAGTAGAAGATTTTGTTCAACGTTATCAAGATATTGACAAAAAGTCTGAGTCAGGTAAGTTCCTTTCCTATAAGTCATCCCCAAGAAGTGTTGGCACAGAAACTGTCCTTGTGCTTAATGACTATAGGTAGATGAGAAAGGAAACTGATAGCCAGAAGACACTTTCCAGGGAGACAAAGAGCCACAAATATAGGGTAGATGTTAGGTTCCTTAGTTTTCCCAGTTGTCTGCTATTCATGACTCTCATAATAGTTTGTTACACAATTCTACAATAGGGCTTATTTGGTTAGCTTTTGGAAGAAGTAGAAAGAGCCTGCTGACTTTTTTCCCCCAAACTTGTAATTTCTATAAAGACTTTGTTAACTATACATGCCACTTCCTAAGGCAGAAAAATAGGTGTGTTGTAGTCCCAAACTGCTGTTCAGCATTCTGCAGCCCTAGTGTTTCTTTTAACACTGCACCAAAACCAGAAATCTGGGATGGGAAGTCTTCCTCATTTGTGCAGCCAGCAGCTCTATAGTCTTCTTCCTTTTGTACCTTTGCTGGTCTGCCTTGAAGGATTATCTGCCTGTCCCTGTGATATTATTCTGGGTTGATTTTTCTTTTTTTTTTTTTTTTTTTCAAAATAAAGCCTGAGTGCGGTGGTTCATGCCTATAATCCCAGCACTTGGGAGACCAAGGTGAGAGGATTGCCTGAGCCCAAGGGTTCGAGACCAACCTAGGCAAGTTGGTGAGACCTCATCTCTACAATAAATAAATTTTAAAAATTAGCCGGGCGTGGTGGCATTCGCCTGTAGTTTCAGCTACTTGGAAGGCTGAGACGAAAGGATCACCTGAGCCCAGCAGGTGGAGGCTGCAGTTGACATGAGCTTGCCACTGCACTCCAGCCTAGGCAACAGAGTGAGATTCTGTCTCAAAAATAAATAAATTAATTAAATAAATGTGAGGCATGCCAACTAGTAAATATGTATGTACTAGGTAAGTGTGAGTCCGAGGGGCATCTCACAGCAGAAATCCCCATACCACAGCTGAAGATTACCTGGGGAACCCACTCTGATTACTCCTCTATTTAGAGTTAAGATATAAGACACCTAGTTAGATATAACACAGGACATATTTGTGTTAAAAAGTTATTCACTGTTTATCTGAAATTCAAATTTAACTAGGCACCTATATTTTTATTTACAGTATCTGGCAATACTACATGTAGCATAATTTTAATTTAGGATAGGTTTTGAAATTTAAGACACCTGGGGAAGAAATGAGATTTTAAGTCAAAAGAACCAAATTTGAATGCTGGTGACAATCATATCCAGCATTGTGACTTAGATAAGGTGGTTAATTTCTCTAGCCTCACTTAGCTCAGCTATAAAAATGAGTGCAGTATTCTTTGCCCTGTATTTTTAAGATGCTATGTTGATCAAGGAGGTGAAATGCAAAACAGAACTGAAGTTCTCTGGAGACAGAACTTCAGGCAAATGAGATTATTAATACGAATGATAATCAAGTTTTTGAGTGTTCCTGTTCTTGGGTTGAACCAGTAATGATTCCTGAAGGAGTTGGGAAGACAATCCCAATGAAGGAAGAAATACTGTGAAGAATTATTACACTGGCCTGCCATGCAGAATTGGCATGAAAATGAGAAACAGAAACAAGTTGCTCTGTATTCTCTTGTAGTTTAATGCCTTGGTTCTACTGTTGTCCCACACTTCTTGTATTTTTTTTCTCATACAGCAAATGAACTCCACAAACTCTTGCAGCCATTTCTGCTGAGGCGAGTAAAAGCTGAGGTAGCTACAGAGCTTCCCAAGAAGACAGAAGTAGTGATGTACCACGGCATGTCAGCATTGCAAAAAAAATACTACAAGGCCATTTTGATGAAAGACCTAGGTAATTGAGGGCACTTGTTCATTTAGAAACAAAATGAGGATGTGACTTTCATGCAAGGAAATATTTTATAATCACACTCACTCTGAGTTTTTGTTGTTGTTGTTGTTATTGTTATTTTTGAGCTGGGGTCTCACTCTGTCACCCAGGCTGCACTGTAGCCTCAACTTCCTGGGCTCAGGTGATCCTTCTGCCTCATCCTCCTGAGTAGCTGGGGCTGTAGGCGTGCACCACCACACCTGGCTAATTTTTAAAATTTTTTGTAGAGATGAGGTCTCACTATGTTGCCTAGACTGGTCTCTAATTCCTGAACTCAGGCAGTCTTCCCACCTTGGCCTCCCAAAGTGCTGGGATTATAGGTGTGAGCCACCACTTCTAGGCTCACACCCACTTTGTATACCAAGAATATGGGATAACTGTGAGAATACTGAGACTGTGGCAGGGTATCTTAAATGTAACTCAGACTTGGTTGTTGCAGTTGTGAAGTTTCCTTTTTTTCCCTCTCACTCTGTTTTTCTTATTACATATAATGAGGAAAACATTTCTAGGTGTCCCAGTCATGCCTTTCTTCTTCCCACCCTGTTGGATACAGTTGTGCCCCTTATCCACAGTTTCAGTTTCAGTTACCTGTGGTGAACCGTGGTCTGAAAATATTAAATGGAAGATTACAGAACTAAACAATTCATAAGTTTTAAGTCACACACTGTGTCTCTCCTGGGACATGAATCCTCCCTTTGTCCAGTGTATCCACACTGTCAATGTTAGTAGTGGGCTCTGTTACCAAACTAACTGCCATGGTATCATCATACTTGTGTTCAAGTAACCTTTATTTTACTTAATAATGCCTCCAAAGCTCAAGAGTAGTGACGCTGTCATTTTGGATATGCCAAAGAGAAGCTGTAAAGTGCTTCTTTTAAGCAAAAAGTTCTCAGTAAGGAAGGGAAAAAAAATTATGTGCTGAGGTTGCTGAAAACATCTGTGGAATAGTGAACAGTATATTGTTATACTTATTCAGTTTTATTATTAGTTATTGTTCATTTCTTAAGGTGCCTGATTTATAAATGAAACTTTATCATGGTAGGCATGTATATGGAAAAACATAGTATATATAAGCTTTGGTACTATCTGTCTGTGGTTTGAGGCATCTACTGGGGATCCTGGAACATATCCCCTATAGATAAAGGGGAACTGCTGTATTTAAAAATTGCAAAACTTTTTGGTGAATTAAATTCACTGGGAGGAACAATCTCTCGATTTGTATTTTTTTTCTTTTGTCCCTTGACTCCACAATAACAGTTAAATAAGAAAATTTAGAATTTGCCAAAGAGTAACAAAGTATTCCTGAGTTCAAGTTATAGTTTAAGCATCTTTCTTAAAACAAAATAATAGTTAAGAAAACGCCATGGGAATATGCTGTTAATTCTCAATGCAATTCAGTGAAGTGTGGGAGATTAATATAGGCCTGAAGGTTATATTAGTGGAATGAATAAGATTATCTACGGAAACTCACAGTTGTTTTTTTTTTTTTTTTATGGTCAGTAGTACATTTTTCTCTTTTTCAAAAATTTCAGATGCCTTTGAAAATGAGATGGCAAAGAAAGTTAAACTTCAGAACATCTTGTCTCAGCTTCGAAAATGTGTGGATCACCCATATTTGTTTGATGGTGAGATAGTGCCCTTCCCCCCCCGCATTATTTTTTATTAATATTTCTGTGGCCAAAATCATACCATAATTCCTCAAAATAATTATCTTTACTTACTGTGTCTCCTTTGTTTATTCTCAGCTTCTCTGTATTGGTGTTATCTGATATATTGTTCATATTCAGGTTTCTTCAGTTGTGCCCCTAATATCCCTCATGGGTATGTTTTTCTCTTCTTTTCTTTCTTTTCTTATCTAGTCATCACTCCTGAATTGCATTTGTCATATCCCTTTATTTTCCTATAATCTAGAAACATTCTACAGCTGTTGTTGTGTTATTTTGGGGGTTTTTTTTTGCCTTTTTTTGTCTTTCGTGACATGAAGAATCAAGGCCAGTGGTTTTATGGAATGTGTCATATCTGGATTTATCTGATCATTTCTTCATGATTAGATTTCCCATTGTCTCAAACCCACTCAGTCAGCCTTTCTTCACCATTACTATTCCAAGTTCACTGACGATCTCCATGCTGCTCAACCGATGGTTGTCAGTTCACATTTCAGTTAAACTCTTAGAAATCTTTGCACAGTTGATCACTTCTTTCTTGAAGCACTCTCTTCTCTTGGCTTCTGGGATAACACTTCCTCTTGCTTCTTTACCTGCCTTCTGTCTGCTCCTTCTCAGTCTCCTTTGCTGCTTCATCCTATCCCCCACGCCTCGTTTTTTGGGTTTTTTGTTTTGTTTTGTTTTGTTTTTGTAGAGACAGGTTCTTGCTGTATTGCCCAAGCTAATCTCAAACTCCTGGACTCATGCAGTCTTGCTGCCTCAGCCTCCCACAGTTTGGGGATTACAGATGTGAGCCACCATGCCCAGTCTACTTCCCCTTCATCCTCTGTAAATTTTCCTCTAAGCACTGCTTTAGCTGCATTCTACAAATTTTGAGGTGCATTTTTTTCTTTTTATTCAAACAAGGCTCTAGGATAGGTAGGATCAGTGCAGAGGGTTTACTGTAGAAATTTTAAGGGAGTCTCTACCAAGTAGTGCTGTTAACTGTTTAAAAATATAACAGAGTCTTAATTAGGTGCATATCAGAACCTTTTAAAGGGGTCTGGTGCATTGTGAACATGTAGGTTTTGAAAGTAGCCCTCCAGGTTATTCTGACTGCCATCCCATACCTTGGGAATCACTAGTTTACATATTGAACTTTATTTCTTGATTCATTTTTTAGAGTCAGAGCCTCAAGATTTCAATTTTCAATCTCTTTGACCTTTAGCATCACTAAAGAGTGAGTTTATTCCTTAGATAAATGTTTATTAGGCATGTAGGTTGTGCCAGGCTCTGTGGTTGGTGTTAAGCAACACTGAGCTCATAATGCAAACAAATAATAATAATTATTATTATTATTATTTTGAATTGGAGTTTCACTCTGTCACCCAGACTGGAGTGCAGTGGCTGCTTCTGGCCACCGCAGCCTCGACCTGCTGGGCTCCGGCGATCCTTCCACCTCAGCCTTCCAAGTAGCTGGAACTACAGGCGCATGCTACCACACCCGGATAATTTTTTGATTTATTGTAGAGATGAGGTCTCACCAAGTTGCCCAGGTAGCTCTCGAACCCACGGGCTCAGGCAATCCACTCACCTCAGCCTCCCAAGGCACAGGATTACAGGCTGAGCCACCAAGCCCAGCTACAAATAATTATAAAATGCTTCAAAGACAGATGAGACTTGGGCCTATTATCAATGACAAGGAGTGTGGCCTGTCTTACTATAGCCTAGCTATTCTCTTCTCTACTCAAGAAGTCTGCCCTGGCTGGGGGTACCTTACTGGGAGTGGGTTCTTTCTTTTCCAGGTGTAGAGCCAGAGCCTTTTGAAGTTGGAGATCATCTCATTGAGGCTAGCGGGAAATTACACTTGCTGGATAAGCTGCTGGCATTCCTATATTCTAGGTAAGTAGTAGGTTCACATTTTCTGCTCTGGGCTAATGACTCTTAAGAGCTGACTAGTAAGGAACTCCCTGATTTGTTAAGGATGATTCCGATTCTGCTTTCTTTGTGACTACACCCCCACCCCATTCCATCCCATCCCACCTCATCCCCTCCACTGTCAGTTTTTTGTTTTCTCCTGAATTCCTGTAACACTTAAGATCCTAATCCAGCACTTGGCTGTGCAGTACCTTAACCTGCTATCTGATTTCTTGATGTATGTTAACCATATCACTCCACCTATATTGTTTGACTCCACAAGGACAGCGACAGCATTGAGCATTTATTTTACAATTGCCTGCTGGTACCTGGCATTGAATTGACAAATAATAAGGGCTCAGCAAACATTCATTTTTGTAAGCCTGTGGAGTTTGATTAGAACTCAGGGGTAACTTGAAAGACTCTTTCCCAGAGATGTAAATTGGGCATTAGAAGAGCAGGTTCAGTTAGTGTTTAGCGGCCTGGTGTCTAACTTGTAAACCTGATCCTCCTAGACACCAGAGGGAAAGAGGGGTCTAGAAAAGGCCCAGATTCCCAGTGATTTCAAAATTATTCCCTTGGGATGACTGCCCAGGTATGGCCTGAACTAACCTAAAATTTCAGATTTGGCAAAATTGTTCAATATTAGGAATGAGCAAGTTAAATAATTGCATGTTTTGCTTTATTTTATTGGCTCTGATATATCTACTATGTTAGATATGGAGAGTTAGAGAAGAATCCATAAATACCTTCTGCTCAGCTTTTTAATTTCACAAACCCAGAAAGGTTATGTGACTTGTCCAAGACCACACAGCCAGCATTTGGCAGAGATGAGATTATCAAGTTCAAGTTCAATGCTTTTTCCACCCATTTGGGGCTCAAGTCTTGAAAGAGTTCTCCATACTTGTTCATTTTACATTTGTTGCAAGCTCAGATTAAATTAGTTTTCATGATGAGAATACCATTTTGACAATATTAATGCAAATTTAACATAATGACTGTAGTAAAGAACTCTAGGCTTGACTTTGTTCTTGACTTAATCCATTATTTTAACCCCTCCTTTCCTCTCTCCTCTCCCTACGTGTTCTCATTTATCATGGAAGATGAGATATCACCTACCCCTTCTCTAAGGTGATGCTTCTCAGACTTTTCAACCAAGATAACTGTAAATGACAAGATAGTGCCTTTACACCCCTAAATAGGAGTCAGCTGTGGAAGGCTGACCACAAATTCTTCGGGATCTCTAATTTTTTTTTTTTTTTTTTTTTTTTGAGGGGCATTGAATTTTGCTTTTTGCCCTTCACATATCTGTATTTTGCTGTTTAAATGCAAGCTTATATTTCTTTCCATAGAGCAAACTGACATTCCAGGAAAAGGTATCTTGGTTATTCTAGGGCTTCTTATACCCCCTGGTACATTAATGCATGCCCCTGGAAATATATGCACTTTACTTTGAGAATGGCTACTCTTGACTACACATGGAGATACATTCTTTCTCTTATTTTTTGGAGGTGTATTCTTACATAACGCATTTAGAACTTCTGAGGAAGTCTCTGTAAATAACATGACATTTATATTTCTACTTCAGTATTTACTTATAAACTTGTATTCTTTGGTAAGTTTTGCCTGATGCAAACTCACCTTAAATACTACTAGAGTTGGCATTTTTTCCTTTTCTTTTCTTTCCAGGGGCCATCGGGTTTTACTTTTCTCCCAAATGACCCAGATGTTGGATATTCTCCAAGACTATATGGATTACAGAGGTGACGCTCCCTGGCCACTACCTTACCTAAGGCTTTTTAGACTTAACGGTCCAGCTAGGTCTGTGAAGAGTGATATTGGGTATGTGAATGTTACAGAGGAAAGCAGGGCAAGAATATTATTCAAAACCAAAAGAAGATCGAAAGTGTGGAGAGTGGTGTGTGAAGGCAAGAATTGAGAGCACAGGATAGACACATGGGCAGAAATAAATACTCATGTTCCCACTGGTTATGTGACTTAAAATGATGGGCACTGGAGCAATTGTTGTGGAAATGTTGAGTGTTTCTGAAAACATAGTAAGCAGAGTTTTGGTAATGAGAGCTTACAGTGTCTTGTAACATTTACCTCAGCAGTTGAACACTTATTCAGAATCATTAAAAAGATGAATATTAAAATTATAGGGATCCCACAAATAAACCAGGGGAAAAATAAAATCAGTTTTTTCATGTAGACAATAGGGAATGCAGATTATATTATCTGGGAACTCTGTTTAATGTATAGTAAGATTTGTGTGGGATGAGGGGAAAAGGCTGCAACGTTGATTGATATTGAGCCCAGTGGTGAAGGGTGAAGAAGTATCAGCTCCAGACCTTACCATTTAAAAAGTTAGTCCAGACTAGGTCTCTCAGATTGACTTGATGCCCCCCCCACTGCAGTATACCTGGTATACCTGGTCCAGCGGACACTTGCAGAAAACTCCCCTTCCCCATATGGTGCATGATGACAGGTGGACAACCCTAAAGCTTTTTTCAAAGGCAGATGCTGGGCCATCAGGCAGACTCACTCACCTGCTTTCAAGTGCTTGTCTTGCTGCTTACAGAAGTAAGACTTGTGTCTCAGCAAAATAAGAAACTTCTGCACAGTGCAGTTGTTCATGGTTGCTTGGAAATAGTCAAAGCTCAGTGTTAACATCATAAATGCCAAAGATTTCAACTGCATGCCTTTAAAAAATCCCAGAGGAGTGTGTTATAGTGAGTTCTTTTGTAAAATTGTGAACTGTCCCCCTAAATTTAATTTTTTTCCCATGGAATTTGCTTAAAGTAGGGCCATGCTTGTAGATGAAAAAGGACAGAATTGACCTTTGGTTTTGGACCGATGTTGTTTTTTATTCCTCAAAGAGTACTTGAAAGGGGTTAAGAGTCTCTGTTTTCTTCCTTTATGTAAAGGCTACAGCTATGAGCGTGTGGATGGTTCTGTGAGAGGAGAAGAGAGACACTTGGCCATTAAGAACTTTGGACAGCAGCCCATTTTCATTTTTCTTCTGAGTACCAGGGCAGGTAGGCCACAAGGCATTGATGAAATGAGGGTGGTAGAGTACTTTTATATCCCAACCATTAGTACCTTTTCCCTTAATTTTCTGAAAGATGAGGTTTTCCCCAGGGGTATAAAACAAGGGAAATTGAAGTAGTTAACATAGTTTACTAGAGTACTGGATTTCCAGCATGGTGCTCTTTTCTATCCAACTTGTCCAAGCTATCATATCATTAAGGAAGAAAGGCTGAAACCTGGAGCTGTTGGAAAGTAATTCTAATTTGCTTTGACGATAGACCTGGGAGTGTCCTGAAAGGTTTCTGTAATTTTGTACAAAGTTTTATTTACACTCAGGAGAGGCAGCTCTTCTTCCTAACCATGAATTTGGAAAATAAGATAACAGCTTGTCTGCTAGTTGTCCATCTTCTATAAGTACTTCCGGAATAGTGTTGTAAAAGCTTAGCAAAAATCTAGTTGTTTAAAAAATGCAATTATATTAAAACTACTAGCTTTTTAGAACTATTTATGACATTATATGTTATATTATATATGACATTTGTAGTACTTTACCAGTTACAGAGTGCTTTAATATACTATTAAATAATTTTATATCAGTTCTTGGAAATGAAATGATTCTCATGTCCTGGAGCAAGCAAACCTTAAATTAGTTTTGAACTCATAGAGTATGAGTTTCATTATCTTATTTTTTTTTTTTTTTGAGTCAGTGTCTCACTCTGTCGCCCAGACTGGAGTGCAGTGGCCGCTTCCGGCCACTGCAACTTTGACCTGCCAGGCTCGGGCAATCCTTCCACCTCAGCCTTCCGAGTAGCTGGAATTACAGGTACACGCTACCACACCCGGCTGATTTTTTGATTTATTGTGGAGATGAGGTCTCACCAAGTTGCCCCGGTGGGTTTCGAACCCACAGGCTCAGGCAATCCACTCACCTCAGCCTCCCAAAGCGCGGGATTACAGGCTGAGCCACCAAGCCTGGCCATTATCTTATTTTTTGACCTAAATCTTAACGGAATACATGCAGAAACATGAAAAGGATGTGTGTCCTCTATTAAAGACAGATTGATATGCATATAAAAAGAGAGTTCAGTTTTATTTAGAAAGCTGTTGAAGTGCCTAGTACTATAAGGACATTTGTATAAAGAAGTATTATATATAATACTTGACTGTAAGATTATTTCACCTGCTGTCTTTTCTCCATTGTAAAATTAATAATATAAAATATAATCAGATTCATTTGGCCTTATTGTCTTCTGAGATCATAGGCCATACCCTGAATCTCAACCCTTTACTCCTGTGATCAGTTTTCTCAGGCGTAGTCTTAGGAGAAACTGAATTAGGAAACACATCATTACTATTGGGAAAACAATTTCACCTATGCTTTAATGATTTCATCATGTTCATATTCAGAGAGGAGCATTATGTTTGAAACACCTAAAGTCAGGAAGGAGGAGATCTTTGCTTTTCACTTAATCTCCTTAGAGGACTCAGAGTTGATCTTCTAGGAGCTGAAGTGGTCCTAGACATTAACCTTTCCCAAACACCACCTGTTGTTTGCTTTCACAGTTTTGCTGGACTTTGGCAGCATTTTCATTTTATTTGCTAGGTTTCCCTTCAGCTTTCCCATGTTTCTGTGATTGAATCATATTGCCACCAGATGGCAGTGGTAGCTCACGAATATGCCCCCAAAAAGTATGGATGTAGCTTATTTATAAAGATATCACCCTCCAGTGAAGAAGAGCTGAATTTAGACAACATTAATTCAAGAAGAAGACAATTTTTATGAAGCACATTTTTAAATGAAACAAGTTCTTGAGTTGTATTATAGTAAAGTAGATTAAAGCACAGACTCTGAATCCAGACCATGAGGGTATGAATCCTGGCTCTTTCACCTTCAGGCTGTGCAACTTCAGATAAGTCTTTTAACCTCTCTGTGCTTCCATTTCAACATCTATAAAATGGGGATAATCACAATAACTACTCACATAGAGTTGTTGTGAGGGTTAAAGGAAATAATATATGTAAAGTACTTAGAACAATGCTTGGCAAAGTAGTAAGAACAACAGAAGTGTACTATCATTATTATTAGTTATAATTTAGTATCCCTCAATAATCAGTCATTATTATCTCTTTATCCCAACTTTAATTTTATGTTAAATCATTAATTAGAATATTTCTGCCTGACTTGGCTTAGATCTAACTTAGAGTAGTCTTCTTCAAAAGTTAGCCTTTTTAGCTTGCTTGGCTCAGCAGTGAGCTCTAACAACCCTGGCGAGAGAGTCCGTTTTGTACTTGTTTTCACATGAATCAAATAGAAGTCTGCAATTTACTTTCCCACTTAATTAGTTCCTGTAACCTAAGGTACCTCCTCAGCCCTTTTCCTACAGCATTGAAGAAAAGACCAGAAAGTTGTTCCATGGAGTGTTTTTGTCTTGCAGTTGGTTTTGTTGCTTTCTCTTGATTAATGTGGAAACAAGTACAGAAAAGAATCACTGAAGTTTTCTCCAGTCAGAGGGAAGTGGCTTCCCACTCTTCTCATTAACTTGTGTCAGGGATCTTACTACCTAGCTATAACTTGCTGTTGGCATTCAGTGCTCTTTTCTTAACAATAACCACAGCAGACCTCTCTCATATTTAGAACTGTTTTCTGAAAGAGTATATGTCCTTTTCCACAGACTATTCTAGCCACAATCTAATCAAGGTTTTTAAACAGAAGAGATTTAAAGTGGCTTTATGACACTAACTCAAGTATCCACTCGTGCCACTTACCACTGCCCCCTCATTCTGTTACTTTCAATAATTAAATTTTCTCAGGTCAGGCAACATGAGGTCAGGTAGCACACTTCTAACCACTGTAAGGCTCTGGAGTTGGCGACAGGGGTATCTGTTTGAAGGATAAAGCCAGTAGTTTTGACTGGTTTCAGTTTAGCAGTCTGACCTACTCTAGCCTTGTGTCTTTATTTTCTAGCTCCTTCTCTATGTGCGCGGAACATATTTCTTTTTGCATTGTTTTCAGGTGGCGTTGGCATGAATTTAACGGCAGCAGATACTGTGATTTTTGTTGACAGTGATTTTAATCCTCAGAATGACTTGCAAGCGGCTGCCAGGGCTCACCGAATTGGCCAGAACAAGTGAGTGATTTAAGCATCAGCATTTTCCTTCTTCCTTGGCTTGTTTGGCAATGGTTCTAGGTTGGGCAGGAAGATGTAGAATGTAGCCCCGTGTTGCTAAGAGACTGCTGGGTTTTAGCCCATCTGTGCTGTTGACTCCTGTAGTAGTCTTGGGTCACATTATCAGCCTAGACTTACTTTAAAAACAACAAAATTAAATTGCAAAAGGACTAGAAGTCATTTAACTCATCCTTCTTGAGTTAGGTTCTATCTCAGTTAAAGAATAGGGGTATGAGGCTATGGGGCTAAGCCAAAAAGATAGGTGTTAGCTTTTGACTTGAGGATAATTTAGATCTGCAAAGGTCTTCCTTTGCAGATAAGGAATCCCAAGTTATGGTCACCTCATCATCCTTTGCTTGACTCCTCTGGAAAAGTTCAGAGAGAATTTAAAACCAGTTCTCACTAATATATGCTCAGGTCCAAATGAAACAACTTCCTTTTAATTGTACCTTGAATATGTTATTTGGTTTTGTTTCCTTCTAGTTGTATGAAGGAGGAACCAAAAAACCCCAGAATTTATTTATAAAAAACTGTATTTTTTTCTTACATGTTTAAACTTCAGTCACCTTCAAAGTACTCTCCATTTGATGTAATATACCTCTCGAGATGCTTTTTCAACTGCTCAAAACAGTTTTTGAACTTGTCGATGTTGATGCCTTTTAGTGCTTCTCCCATTTTTTGTTTCACCTCTTCCACATCAGCAAAACATTTTCTTTTAAAAACTCTTTCATCTAGGGAAACAAAAACAGTCACTCGGGGCAAGATCAGGTAAATAGGCAAGGGGGGACATGGGAATCATGCTGTTTTGGTCAAAGACTGCTGAACACTCAGCGTGGTGTGGGCAGGTGCACTTGTAAATCACCCAGCCTGAAATACATTGACAGAATCTCCAAAAATAATTCACTGAAGCGAAATGTATCCTCTCACAACACCAGCTAGTACACTGATGCTAATGGGTTCCCAGGACACTACCTAGTGGAGGAAAGCCTGTATTACAAAGGGCCTGCCCTCCAAAAGGATAATTCTGGGGGTTTTTCTGGGGGGAGGGTCCCCTTGTATTTATCTTGCATGCTTGTACCTAGCTTTGCAGACTCTTACAGCACTCTACTCTTATTTGACTTATGGACAGATCTGTTAAAATTATTCGACTGATTGGCCGAGACACTGTGGAAGAAATAGTCTATAGGAAAGCAGCCTCCAAACTGCAGCTCACCAACATGATTATAGAGGGAGGCCATTTCACTCTGGGTGCCCAGAAACCTTCGACTGATGCTGACTTCCAGGTATAATATATGGTTCTTCACTTTAGAATATGTCAGTGTTCTCTGTGGAAGAGAATGTGAATGAAAAGAGCTACCACTCTCCCCACCTACAAATTTTTTTCTGGCCTACCTCCTACTTGCCATAGTGCCTACTGCATGCAGGGTGTAGGAGCTATGAGTGTGATTCGTAAAAGCAGTAGGATATCAATTAAGGAGGATGGGCTTTGGGCTATCTAACATGGATTCAAATCCAAGCCTCATCTCTTAATAGCTGTGGGGTTTTGAGCAGATATCTTAACCTCTTGGATTTACTCTCTTTTTTGTTTTTCTAAAAATGAAAATACCACTAGTTACCTCAGAGGGCAGTTAAGAGAATTTAGTTAGACTAAAGAATACAGCATAATCAATAACAACTAATTCCATACCTCTTTCTTAATCCCAGACTCTTTGATCAGCGGCTTACATTACTTCATGCTCAGAGGAGGGCAAATGAGATCAGGAATTCAAAATTATGCCATAGGAAAAATGGGTGAATGAACTAGAATTAATTTGCTTGAAGAAGGGAATATTGGATGGAAGTCAAAGGCTGACTTGGAAGATTGTAGAGAGAACTGTCTTTTAGAAGAAGACTTTGAGTTACTCTGTAGTGGCCCTTGGGTTAAAATTAGAACCCATATTATAATATATCCCAGGTCCTTGTGTTCACAGATAAAGTAGTCCAGCTGTTTCCCTCGTGGTCAATTGAAGACAAGAGGCAGAAACTGGGAGAAAATTGAGTTTATTTCTGCAACCAGGTTACAGGAAGATGGGTTGGCATCATTACCAAAAAACCCACTCCGAAGCATTACAGTTTACTCAGAATTTACATTCCGAGGCCATACAGTTTACTCAATTTACATTCCATGGTCCCTACCCACTCCTAAAGCTAAATTAACAAGGGCAAAACTCAAGCTCTCCTAATCCTCCTTCACCCATCCCTGCGACTGAATTAACTAGGCCTACCAGCAGGGCAGACCCAAGATGATCTATTCATGTTGATGGTTCCTTGAGGGGGGATGGGAATTTACAGCAATCAAAAAGCTGCCTTGGTACATTTAGATAGACAACTTTGAATCAAACATGGAAATGTAAGAAACCTCTGGTCCCAGAGCCTTGGCCTGTAACACTTGAATTTTGTCTCAAGGTTGAGAGTCTGGATACAGAGAGACCAATTCCTAGGATATTAGGAAGATGCAGACATGAAATGAGTAATAAATGTCTGTCAAGGGCAGTAGCCGTGGGAGGGTCTAGTGTGAGAAACATTGTGAAAAAAGGAAGGACAAACATTGGCTACTGTCTAGGGGTGGGTTGCTAGAGAGATAGAAAATTCAAAGATAGTTGTGAGGTGTTCAGCCTGAGTGATGAGGAGAATAAAAGTTAGAAAGATAGGAGGTAGGGCAGAACTTTAGGAAGATAAAAGTAATGTATGCTTTAGTCAATAGGGTCTGTAGTAAAAATACATTGTAAAACTATTGTTAGAAGAAAACTCAGACAAAAGGAAAGCATTTCATTTGCAAAAGGTTTGCAAGAGAGGCTAAACTTTAAAAGGACTAGCTTATCAAATTTAAAAAATACGACAGGGATTTTTTTTTAAAGCGGGATTTATTGAGAGGACAGAAAAGCTCCCACACTGGGAGGGGACCTGAAGGGGTTGCCCTACAACAGGAATTTAAAAGGGAAAAAATTATGTAATATTACAAGCAAAGTTACCAAGTTTATAAGTAGCTAAAAACAGTTTTTACATGGTTATCATATCCACAAAGGCCACTGCATATCTTCTCACATCAGCATCACAAAAGACAGGGATCATGTTGTTTTTGTTAGGGAGTCAGTAATTACAGGGAAGGTTCAAGGTTTCATTTATTTTGGCACTAGAACTAGAAAGAGTAACCCTGGGTTTTGTTTGTTTTTTGTTTCTTTTAGGGGTAAGTGTAGGTTTTTTTCTGGTTTTCCTTTTGTTGCTGACTCTGATGCACGCTTACCCATATGTGGTGGGGGGGTAGGCCATATGTTTTGTTTTCACACTAAGAAGCAGTAACAAATGTGAGATGAACACTTAAGAGGTACAGCATAAGGTAGGGGAACACCGTGGATACTCTTACAGTTCTCCATAGAACCTTGAGGGAGATGAGTTCACCATTGGGCATGGTAAAGGGGGTAAAATGACAGAGCCTCAGAAGGCCTACGTTCTGGTGTTAGAGGAGGGAGAGTTGTCACTACAATGCTTGAACTACCCCAGTGGAGGGAGCTCAGGGGATTCAGTTAGGGGTACCCAGGTGATGTGGGCTGCCGGGCACATTGTAGTGAAACACGCAGACATACTTAGTGGGAACATAGACTACTGTCTGTTTGATAGGGGCTCTGTCAAATTTCATGATTCAGCTCAAAGTTATTGAAAAGTTAAGTTCTGTCTCTAATGTCTGATTTATCTCTTCCCCATCCAGACTGTATGAGTTATTTGTGATTGCCAAAAACAAAGATGATAAACCAGTCAGTACCCTGGTCTCAAAAAAAAGCAGGGGATTTTTAAAAATACCAAGATGCGATTCTAGTTTGGTAAATCTAAACAGTATAAGTTGTGGAGTCACAGTATGGAGTTCTGGAAGCCTGAAAGAGGGAAGCAGGCTTATTATCCTGCAGGGAGACTCCAATACAAACAGAGAAAGGCAGATGTAGATGTAGTAGTAAATGCTTACTGTATGCTAGGTATTGTCTGAGGTGTTCTTTTCCAGTCATTTCAGTGAATAACAACAGAATGAGATTGCACTATCTTTAGCCCATCTTAAGTAATTTGCCCAAGGTCATTCAGATTTAGAACTCCAATTCAAGCATGCACTAAACTCCACACACATGCCCTTAATTACTGTAATATACTGCTTCTCATAAAAACACATGTAGTTCCTTAATGACTAAGACACATCACAAGCAAGCAATAAGGGGAAAGCCAGGAGGCAAGTATAAATACAAGAGGTCAAAGGGAAGGTTTCAATATGGACTAATTCTTACCATAAATAATTGGCTTTCTTCTGTTTTTGGCAGCAGCTGCCAAAGCCAGTCATCTTGGTTACGTGTATTGAGGTTAAATATAAATATAGCAAGGTATGTTCATGCTTATGTGAACTATCTAACTTTTTCCAGGCTATTATAGAATACCTTAAGATTTCCTTGTTGCTTACAAAATAGATGATCTAGGGGTAATTGACCCACTCTAAAAGGGCAGGATGTCGAGAGCCAAAGCTGTTAATCCAACTTGGTTCAGCATCTCGGAGTTAATGCATAGAGAGGTACAAAGTTGGAAATAGCAAGTGAAAGCTAGGAAAAATTATTCAGGCTTTCTGGGTGGCTCCTACAGCCATAAAAAATAGGCTGAGGGTGTCCCAGAGAGGAATAAGGGAAGAGAAGCAATGTAGTTCCATGCCAGAGGAACATCCAGGAAGATTCAGATTGAGAAATGTTCTTTGGGTCTGGTGATTGGTCTATGCCAGGGTGGTTTCCATAGAACACTGTGATAGGTGGAAAAAAAATTGCCAAAGCTAAGTAGTCAGTTTATTGTAGAGGTGAAGTACCCGATGTCGTCTTCACTTTCTAAGAAGTTTGACAGTGGAGAGGTGGGAAAGCAGCATGGTCTCTGACTTCTCACATGTGGCTACTGGGAATGGCTTTGAAAAAGGGTCAGTGGAGGTGCTGTAGAAATTGCAGGAAATTACTGTTATTCTTCCAAAAAAATTGGAGGCTTATACATTTTTTTGTTATGGAGAATAGTCAGTCAATAGCTCTGAACATAATTTATTACCCCTCTGCTTTTTCATCATCCAACTGTTAACCAGCCCTGGCTTGTATCATATATAATGGGGAGAGAAGAAAGGCTATCAGGGAAGGAATGTGCCTGGTATTGTTAAGCCACTTAGCAAATTGCTAGTATCCTAAAGCTTGTTTTCATGAGAACTAACTGAACCTTTTTTTTTCTCCATTCAAGTTGAGTGAGATACTGAAATTCGGTTTGGATAAACTGCTGTCTTCTGAGGGGAACACCATGGATGAAATAGACCTGGAGTCCATCCTGGGAGAAACAAAAGATGGCCAGTGGATCTCTGATGCCTGGCCTGCGGCAGAAGGAGGGAGCAGAGAGCAAGAGGAAGGAAGTAAGCTGAGAATTAGAGCAGAGCAATGGCATGCCCACCCCAAGCTAGAGCATGAGTGAACTGAGTCCCATGGAAAGTCCTGAATGCTGCTCCCTGGGACATCTCTTTCCTATCCAGCCCTATTGTCATCTTGGACGCACTGTTTAAGACATGTTTAGTCTAAGATCTCGACTGCCTGTTCCCTTGTAGCTGAACTTGAACCAGAATCCTGATATAAAATGTTTATGGTAGTACGAAGGATTTAAATTTGTACCTTTCCTCTCTTGGTTGCATGGGTCTTCTCCCTTGTTTATTAGTAAGGCCTGCTGTCCTTGGTATGATAATCTTCACATTGTGTTTATTTTTCTAAACAGTAAGGGTTTGTTTTTTAAATGACAGCTAACGGTGATTGAGCATTTACTGTGTGCTCATCAACAGTGCAGTGATGATGAAACAACATTTCTTTTTGGGCTTTTTCTATTCTGAGTATTTTAATTTCTGACTGAAAGTAGTTTTTCACATAGTAGCTTTTTGTAAGGATGTTTCCTGGCATCTCATTGTTATTTTGAAGTGTCTTTATTTTTCTGTACCAGCAACAACGGTGGTTCAATATGGACTAGGGTGAGCAGTTTGGGAGTCTTACTAGGCTTCTTAATTCAAGAGTACCTCCTTTCAGTGCTGCAGAAAAAAGCAGTTTATTTACTAGATGGTGGCTCTTTTTTGGTGAGGAGTGGAGTTGGCATGGTTTCTGGTTCTGTGTTTCTATAGGGATGTAAATTTCCCTTGCTTGCTTTCTTTTTTCCCTTTGTCACAAACCTGTCCATGGGTGTTTCTCTCTTCTAAGTTCTCTCGTTCCCCCAGAAGCAGTGCCTTCCCAAACTCCTGGCTGCGTGGTTCTAGTCCTTTCCTTTCAGTTCCTTAGTAGACACTGCTCTGATCCACCAGGTCTCAGACCTATATTTTTTTCCTTCTTGGGGTGTGACCCTTTTTGTGGAGGGTAATTGTATCTGTCTGACACTGCTAGAACCCTCTGCCCTCCTCTCTGCACAGACTCTGCCTCTCTACTCACGGTTTGGAGCTGTCTCAGTGGATTTGGGACATTTATTTCTCTACTTATTTGCAAATTAAAGTTTATAGTATTTTCTGACTCCTGCTTTTGTAGCAGGTATGGATTGGGGTGGTTTTGTGTTGTTGATCTGTATGGTTTTTGTAGGATATACAGAGAAATTGGAATTTAGGCAGCTGGCATTATTTTATAGGACACTGCTCTTTGAGTTTTTCTTATATTTTATCTTTAAAATTCTGTGTAATAGAATCTTGTTTATATTCTTCAAGAACTCTTTCTTGTTCTCTGCTTGTTTTAACTGTATACTCTTCTCATTTCAAGGACATAATATCCTCTCTGGGGACATTTATTATAACTTTTTAAAATGTATTCCAGGAAGCATATTTATTATATCTTTTAAATAAGTATTCCTCTACTCACTCACTGTATTATCTCTTTTCTTCAATTACTTTCCCTTCTTTCTAAAAAAAATTTACTTAAACTGACAGATATAGTTACATTTATCATGTACAACATGATGCCTCAAAGCACATAGACATTGTGGAATGGTTAAATCTAGCTAATCAACATACATATCACCTCACATAGTTATTTTTGTGGTGAGAATACCTAACATCCAATCTCTTAGCATTTCTTAAGAATATAATATATTATCATTAATTATAGTCACCATGGTTCCTCTTTTTTAAAAATTTGTTTTGGGATCTCTTGTTCTCATTGGTAGTTTTCTGCAACCATCTGACATCCTCTGGCTGTCTAATCATGTGTGCCAATGAAATACCACAAAGCTGACAGCAGCTTTGTGACAGGCAGGTACAAGGGCCCTGGGGCCTTATTTTAGCATTACTGGTTGGTGAGCCGGTTTTTGCACTGAGGGAGCCATTCCCTGATGTCTGTATTTAAAGTCTTTGCCCTGGGCAAAGACTTTCTCCAGAGACAATGCTCTAGTATCTTCTTTAGAAGGGGTTGGGGTGGAGTAAACCTGGTTGCTCAAATTGAAAAAGACAGGGTGAAAACTAGCCAGGCATGGTGGAATGTGCCTGTTAATCCTAGCTACTTGGGAGGCTGAGGTAGAAGGATTGCTTGAGCCCAGGGGGTCAAAGCTGTGATGAGCCATCATCCTGCCCCTCCAGCCTGGGTGACAGAGTGAGACCCCTACTCAACAAAAACCAGGATGAGTCAAGGGCTAATAGTATATCTGTTATTTGGGATGCAGATCTCTCAGTTCCTTTACTTCATGGTATCCTGTACTTGTAAGTCCTTAAGCTCTTGGAGGATGGAGAGGGTCTCTCGTCTTATAGTTGCACCTTTGCTAGGTACCTGTGTTTCACTTCCACAGCTCTTAATCTGTTATTATTCCTTCAGCCACTTTCCATTTTCCAAAAGGTTATTGGACTTTTTCATCCACCGTTGTCTTCCTTTACTATCATTTAGTGGATTCAGGTGAGAGAAGAAAAAGATGCATGTGGTCCTATTTTTAAGTTATATATTGATTATTTTAAATATCAAAGCTTATACCCAATTCTGCACCTATCTGGATTAATTTTGGCTTATTTTTCTGATGCTTACTAAAGCAAATAAAACTGCATTGTTTTCCAGAAAGATAATTATATTTCTCAGTCAATCCAACTGCCTTTTTAAAAATTGCATTTATTCAGACAGTCCAACTACCAGAAAAAAATCCCAGTTGTATTAAAATTTGGAATTTTCTCTTTGATGAATGGGTATAGGTTTACTCTGTGGTAGAGGGTTCCCTGGTAAAACAGAAAAGAGGCTGTAGGTCTGTGGTCTCCAACCTCCTCTTGGCTACAGAGTGAAGATGGAGAACACAATTAAAATGACGCAAATGAATATGAAAGTGGTTTAGACTGCCCTAATCAAAATTAAACTTTAAAAAATACGATTGTTTTATCTTGAATGGCAGGGTTTAAAAAAAATTTTTTTTTTAGACACCAGGGTTTTTAAAAATGATTAGAAGTTGAGAATTGCATGCAGTGTGAAGCTACATATGTTGATCATATTTGACACTTCCCAGCTCTTTTTTTCCACTTGTTGATAGAGTGCCTCATTGAAAGCCCCCCTGCTGACTTAATTAGCAAATGCCAATTAGAATTACAGCTGGTTATAGTTGGGTACAAGTGTGAGGCAATTGATCTCTTGAGAATGAAAATGTTTTGCTTTTATACTCTCTAGGGAAAACATACTTATAGCGGATTTCATAATGCTGTGAAAATACATTATTTGGTAACATGTGCTACTAAATATGCTTCTTTTTTTCTTTTTTTTTTTTTTCTTTTAGAGATAGGGTCTCACTCTGTCTCCCAGGCTGGGCTGCAGTGGCACTAATATAGCTCACTACAGCCTTGAACTCAAAAGGATCCTGCTGCCTCAACCTTCTGAGCAGCTGGAACTATAGACGTGTGCCACCACACACACTAGTTTTTTCTGTTGGTTTTTAAGTTGGAGTCTCACTCTGTCGCCCAGGCTAGAGTGCAGTGGCACAATCACGGCCACCCCTGTGTTGATCTGCTGGGCTCCAGCGATCCTTCCGCCTAAGCCTTCCAGGTAGCCGGAACTAAAGGCACACGCTACCATGCCTGGCTAATTTTTAACTTATTGTAGAGAGGAGGTTAATTTCTTTTTAATTTTTATTATTTTTATTTTTAGAAATGATTGTCTCACTATTTTGCTTAGGCTGGTCTCAAACTCCCAGCGTCAAGCAATCCTTCCACCTCCGCCTACCAAAGAGCTGGGATTACAGGTGTGAGCCACCACACCTGGCTATATGTTTCTTTTTCAAATCATTATCTTATCTGTCTGTGGTTGCTAGTCTTGGCTGGTCACCTAGCCTCATTTAGCTTTTGTGTCATAATCTGTAAAATGGTCCCATTAATAACTGTGTCAGTGTGTGGGATCCCCATATAGAACCCAAACTTCAGTGTCATTAGGAATGGGAAATGAAATGTCTTTATCATGAGCTGGTTTTAACCCTTTTAGAATATAGGCTGTTCTCTTGTTCACCCTCGTTATTGCTTTGAATAACATTAATCCATTTTGTTTTAAATGCGATAATAGTTGGGAAAGTGTTCTGATAGCCTAAAGTTCTATTCAAGGTGACACTTTTGTCTTTATTGTTATTACCATAATTATTATTTGCTAACCTATTATCCCTCTATCCTTCTATATACAAAGTAATATACTAAAAAGAACACACTAGCATTAGAGTCAGAAAATCCAGCCTTCTTTACTTTTTACCACTGAGAATTGAAGAGTCCCTTAATTTCTGTCTGAGCCTCAGTTTCCCCTTTCATAAGTGGGATTAATTTTACCAGGATTATCGTGAGGATCATGAAGATCTATAAAGAATATTGTAAGTCCAAGGAATCACTTTTGTCTTTTTTTTTCTCATAGATTTGCAACTTATTCCTCTTAATATTATAGAAAATAGGAAAAAATTGAGTATTAAAAGTGTGTTTGGAATTTAAAAGCATGGATTTTATTACAGGAGTTTATTGACAGTGAGATTTGTGCTGACAAATAGTTGGGAATGAATGAATGATAGACTATCCAAGACTCAGCAGGGTGGGAGAAATCCAACAGAGATGCACAGACCATCTAGGAATAGACCAAAAGGGCTTTCAGCCATGGTCTCTCACTTGAAAAGTCAGCGTATGGCATCCCCATATAGAACCCAAACTTCATGTCAGTAGGAACAGGAAATGAAATATCTTCTTCAGGAGCTGGTCTTAGCCCTTTTAGAATATAGGCTGTTCTCTTGTTCACCCTGGTTATCATTTTGAATAGCATTAATCCATTTTTATTTAGAATCTAATATTTCTCTCCTTGTGTTTTATGTTCCTAGAAAACCATATGTACTTATTTGAAGGTAAAGATTATTCTAAAGAACCTAGTAAAGAAGACAGAAAATCATTTGAACAACTGGTAAAGCTTCAGAAAACCCTCTTGGAGAAAACTAGTCAAGAGGGCCGGTCGCTCCGAAATAAAGGCAATGTAAGAGCTATGAATTTATGTAAAAGAATAAATTCTTCCAAACTATCATTCTAAGAAAACAAAAAAATGCTGGAATCCTCTTATTCTATTAGGTTGATTTGTCAAGAAATAAATATGTAAGCGTTTGTTGAAATGTTAGTATAATTATACCCTAGTATAAAAACTGTAAAAAGTTGGCATAAAAAACATTAACAAGGAGAATATATTGTACAGTTTAACACAGGTAAAAACATTCCTGTCTATCTGAGCTGTTCCTAAATGGATCACTATATTATACCAAAATACAAGACTTTGCTATTGATAATCCTGACCCTGTGTCATTTTTTTCCCCCAAACAACAAAATTTTATAACACTTTGAAATTAGAATTTTCCATGTGCTCCCTATGTCATTAAGAGAGGATGGCACTCATAAATTTCATATGTAATGTTCATAGTGCCTGGCACTTAAAATGTGCCCATTAAATGCTAGCTATCATTAAGATAATCGTGACATTGAAATTTCCTGTTTTAAAAAGAATTATATAATACATTGTAAAAATATTTCCATCAAAAATGGTTAAATTTAAAATGGCATCTGCTAGGTATGCTTTCATTGAAAAAAAAATTTTTTTTTGAAGTACCTTATTCCTAATGAAATGAATCAAAATGATTGTAGCAACTGTGCCAAGCATGGCTTGGTTGAGTTTAGAGCACAATATCCTGATCCCCATACCTGTGAGATGTGTAATTAACATTAAATTGAGGTGTCTTCCACTAGTTCCCACCTCACAGGGTGAGTGGGCACGTAACATTTTATGGAATATTAAACATTTTGCTTAACTGTGTAGAGGTGGCTTTAGAGATGGAATTTAGGGAGGAACAGCCACTGCCTGACCTTCCTGGTAATTATTCTTGTTCTTTCTACAGGTTCTTATCCCAGGCCTAGTGGAGGGGTCTACCAAAAGAAAACGGGTTCTGAGCCCAGAAGAGCTAGAGGACAGGCGAAAGAAGAGACAAGAAGCCGCAGCTAAGAGAAAGAGACTAACAGAGGAGAAGAGGAGAAAAAAGGAAGAAGCTGAACATAAAAAGAAGTATGTCTGTATTAACCAAGCTGAGGGTCACAGTTGGTATAGGAGTCACTATGAGACCACTGTTGAACATTGCTTTAAAAATACAGAAAACTTCTGTTATCAATAGGTAACAGAATACTTGTTTTAAATATTAAACTTTAACCTTAACATTTAGCCTATGTAAATGAAAAGTCCTGAGTGCCTAAGGCAGAGAAAATGCATTCTGTTTTATTGTAACTGTCTGAGAAAGAGTAGTTTACTTGAACAATCCCTTTTAGCCCTGTTCTTAAAACAGAGACATTCAGTGAATGCTCATTATTGAAGTGTAGTCAGGAGGCAGTTAAGCTAATCAGTTAGACTTGTTTATTTACAAATAAGCTGAAAACTTCAATCGGATTGAATTTCTAATTGCATTTCCACTTGGCAGTTATTGTTTGTGAACAGCAGTACAAAATGTGCTCTGAGGGAAATTGTGATAACCTGGGTTAATTTCCTTCTCTCTCTGGCCTGCTGAAGGATGGCTTGGTGGGAGTCTAACAACTACCAGTCCTTCTGCCTGCCCTCTGAGGAGAGTGAACCAGAGAACCTTGAGGATGGGGAAGATGAGAGCTCTATCGAGCTGGATTATGAAGATCCAGACTCAACCTCCCTCCATTATGTCAGCGGTGATGTCACCCACCCTCAGGCTGGTGCCGAGGATGCTCTCATAGTACACTGCGTAGGTGCGTAGGTACGAGAAATGGTGTATGTCATGGGTGGGTGCCTCAAATGGTGCCAAGAACTGGGGAAGATGAGGCAGAATCCTCATCCAGGGATAATGGTCTCAGTGCACTGTTGTATTGTCAAAAAAGCATGACTTTTAGAATCAGGAGACACAGATTTGATACTTGGCTTTCTCATTTACCTGGTTGAATTACCCAACCTCCCTGAGCCTCAACTTCCTTATTGATATCCTGAGTAATGTCTGCCTTATCCTCTGCACAAAGTTTTTAAGGGGATGAAAGGAGACAACATATTTTTTTTTTTTTTAATTTTTATTTTTTGAGTTGGGGTCTTACTCTGTCGCCCAGACTGGAGTGCAGTGGCCACTCCCGGCCACCTCAGCCTTGACCTGCTGGGCTCCGGTGATCCTTCCACCTCCGCCTTCCAAGCAGCTGGAACTACAGGCACGCGCTACCACATCCCGCTGATTTTTTATTTATTGTAGAGATGAGGTCTCGCCAAGTTGCCCAGGCAGGTCTCGAACCCGCGGGCTCAGGCAATCCACTCACCTCAGCCTCCCAAAGGCATGGGATTACAGGCTGAGCCACCGAGCCCGGCTTTTTTTTTAATTTTAAAGATGTGGGGTACAATTCAGGATTAGATATACAAATGTTCATTATACAGGTACCCTTGTTGATGAGGTATGCCACCCCTCCTCCCCGCCACCCCTGCAGATTCCCACTACTACCAATCCCACCCCCACCCCTGGTAGTTTCTCACTACTGCCAATGCTTTTCTTACAGTATTATGATAATTGTTCAAGGTCCCCTTATGGGTGAGAACATGTGGTACTCAGTTCTTTGTTTTGGTGATAGATCACTCAGTATTATAGACTCTAAGTCCATCCAAGTTGCTGTGAAGTTCATAATTTTGTCCTTCTTTATGGTTGTGTAATATTCCATCATGTATATGTATACCACATTTTTTTTTATCCAGTTCTCTTTCGATGGGCAGCATGGTTGGTTCCATGTTTTTGCTATTGTGAACAATGCTGCAATAAACATACATGTGCAGGTTTCTTTTTCATAGAGTGATTTAAGTTCCTCTGGGTGTAGTCCCAGTAGGAGAATTGCGGGATCATATGGAGGGTTGATTTTTAGTTCTTTTAGGAGTCATGAAACTGTTTTCTACAGAGGTTGTATTAGTTTACATTCCCACCAACCATGTAGAAGTGTGCCCTTTCCCCGCATCCTCTCCAGCGTCTGTTGTTTTTTTTAGTTATTGATGATGGCCATCCTGCCTGGAGTTAGGTGGTATCTCAGTGTGGTTTTAATTTGCTTTTTTTTTGATGTCTAGTGAGGCTGAGCATTTTTTCATGTATCTGTTGGCTGCCTGTATGTCTTCTTTTAAGACGTATCTATTCATATCTTTTGCCCACTTTGTAATGGGGGTGTTAGGAGGCAACGTTTATAAGACAAATGAATCCTTTCAGAAAAAGCAAAACTTCAAGCTTGCTCCTCCTTTGCACTTTTTACCTTCTCTGCCTAGAACCAACCCCTTTCCCCAAATAGCCACATCGTATTGTTCAGATGCCTGCTTCTCAGTGAGGTCTTCTATGATCACCCATCCTAACTTCTATTGTACTCTATCTGCTTTCTTCCATCTTCTTTTATTAAGCTTACCCGTCCTGGCATATTACCTGCATATTTGTTTCTTTGGCTGTTTCTTTGCATTAGGAAATAAGCTTCTTGAGAACAGGGGTTTTTTGTTTCGTTTTTTTTTGGTCTACTGCTATGATCCCAGTGCCTAGAACAATACCTGACAAGTAATAACTGCTAACAAATGCTTGTGGTATGAGTGAGTGAATGATTAATGAGCTCTGTTAGCACCAGCTTGAATAAGTCGCTTAACCTTTCATCTTTCTTGCCTATAAAGCGGGAGTTGTGTGCTATTGTCTTACCAGTCTTTCGTCTCACTCTTTTATGTTCCATCTACTCTCCATTCTTTCTCAGTTGTCTCCCAGGAATCATGAATGCACCACAGAGATTTTGCTCATTAAGAACATTAGTTTTTGAGATGATTTCTTGTTATGATGGCCAAGCACGTATTCTAGAAAGTCTAAACATATTTGCAGAGTCCAACCTGTAGAAGATTCAATATTTTCTTCCTTCTCTTTGAAAAGTCATCCTTTTACAAGTCTACTTTGTGTGCCCTTGTTTTTCAAAATTGTGAATTGAACTTTACCTCCTACAGATGAAAATTTTGTCTTTCTTCTATCAGATGACTCTGGCCGCTGGGGCAGAGGTGGTTTATTCACAGCTCTGGAAACACGATCAGCTGAGCCAAGAAAAATATATGAGCTGGCTGGGAAAATGAAAGGTAAGAAGCAAAGCTTCTTTGCTTTAGGGATGAAATAAGACAGGAGAGGATACTTAAGACTATATCATGTGGGTTACATAGCACTAGATAAGGAGTCAAACAACCGGTTGGGGACTGAATTCTGTTGTCAATTAGCTAGATGTTATGTGACTTCAAGGCATTCTCTTATCCTCTCTGTGCCTGTTTTCCCATCTGTAATTTGTGAAGAATACTTGTCCTACTACCTCGAGACTACAGTGAGAATAATGATTATGCAAGTTTTTTTAAAATGTCAGTCCCTGCATACATGTTAAAGTGTTGGAATGAAGATCATTTTATTTTTTATTAAACCTACCCCCATTTTCATGAAGGAACATCTCATGAAAACATCAAGACCCATAGGAGAGAAAGTGGACAAACCATTGAAATGCTAACAACAGCTGGGATTTGATGCTTTTCTCAGGAAAGCAGGGTGTATTATGAGGTCAGCACAGCCTGGAGACAGAAGTAAAGCTTTTGTAGGCCAGGAGAACTTAGAGGACTGAACAGTATTGTCCTTAGCACAGAGAAGAGGAAAGGGTACCTCCTTTTATGTGCAGAAATCACAATGTGGCAAGAGGAATAAAATTATTATTGTGATTACTTTCTGGGGGAGTTGGGAGGTTAAAGGATCTTGTCCAATAGAGAAGGGCCCTCCAGATTTCTTAGAGATTGGTTTTTTCTCATTCTTCCCAGTTCTCTAGAGTTAAAAGGGATGTAAGGACTTAGAGCGAGTACTTTTTCTTGTAAAACAAGTTACTGACAGAATGTTTTGATGTGGGTTGAAATAATTAACCCAGATGTATATACTGACTGGGCAGTTGGAAAAGCGGAGAACTCCTTGTTTGAAACCGGGTGGGAGATAGGACAGAGAAACAGAGAACACAATGTGGAAAACACCTCCACTTAGGGCCTGAGGCAAGAAGAGGAGACAGAGGGAATTGTCAGAAAAATAAGAGAACCTTGTGCAGTATTTTGAGGCTCAAGGGAAGAGAGGATGTCAAGAAAGCAAAGTGATTTGCTGTGATAGATGGGAATTGGGAAAATTCTACTGTGTTTGACCCAAGGTCTGTCACATGACCTTGGAGCATACTGAGAAGAGTATGAATACTAAAACTTGATTGCACAGATTTAAGGCCTAAGTGTTCAATAAGGAAATGGGGATGGGAGTGTATAGTTTTCTCTGAAAAAGGACTGAAATAGGGTACAGCAGAGTAAATTATAAACTGTGGGCTAGAATTCCCAGGGAAGGCTTCATGGAGATGGTGAAAGTTCCCTTGTGCCTGGAAAGGTAGGTAGAATTTGAAATGACATGAGGGTCCCAGATGTCTCGTTCTTTTGGTATCCCCAGGAAACCCACTTTTCTCAGAACATGGGTATTGAAGGACCCAGGCAGTTACCTGGTTCATGTGTCTGGAGGATGGTGCACAAGCCAGGAAGGCCAGAGTAGAGGGTTTAGGTAGAGAAACAGAGGAGGCCACATCATAGAAGACCCATGGCTTGTCTCAGGAGATGCCATTCTTAGCAGGACCTTATCCAATGGGTAATGGCTAATCCTTTGGGAGATTTGACTTTAAAAATGGCACAGCTAGTATTTTAGAATGACTTCAGAGATTAGAGTGTGCAAGATGTCCATCATTTTTGTTTGAATAAAAAGTTCAAACTGGTATCAACCTAAATAACAGACAGACGCTCTCCAAAAGAAAATGATATTTATTTGAGAATAAGTATTGCCATGGAAATATACATGCCATAGTAAACTATGTGTTATTCAAGGAGGTAAAGGAAGACAATGGTTTCTAAAAGAAACATGAGAAGGATTATATAATTGTTTTGAATCAGTTATTCTTAACTATAAAGATCAATAACAAGTGTGGGTCAGGCGTGGTGGCTCATGCCTATGATCCCAGCACTTTGGAAGGCTGAGGAGGGAGGATAATTTGAAGCCAGGAGTTTGAAACCAACCTGGGCAACATAGCAAGACCCTGTCTCTACAAAGTAAAAAATAAAATAACGATGGTGGCACCAGCCCAAGGTTAGACAAGCAGTTGCTGGGCAGATATCCTTGTAGGAATTTTTTTTGTGTGTAAAGTTGCCATGGTCTTTGTGCAAGATCGTGATTTTTGCAGTCTGTGGAGACAGTTCTTGTTATCAGGCATTCCTGCATGAGAACCCCTCCTTTATGACCTTCCCCGGTTTCATTTGTCAGGAGTTTTAGTACAAGTGTTTCCATTTTGATTCTGACAACTTTCATACTGGGTTATGTAAAGCTGTAGTATTAAACTAGCATATTTATCTAGACTATTAATTTTATTTGATTTGGATGAGTTAGGAAAATATACAAATAGATACAGAGTAGAATGCAGTATTTGGGTAGTTTTAGACAAACATAAGACTTTCAAAGGAGTTTAGAGCTCACAGTGTTACCTCCCCAGCCTCCCAGATACCTCTGGGTTTTGCACTGACTCTCTGATGTCTATAGGGCTACTTTTTTGGCAATATCAGAAGATATTTTAATAATTGGGAAATCATAATAATTCAGGAGTGAAACAAGTGAGTACCTGGCTAAGGTGTTGACTGAGGCTAGGGGAGTGATAGGAAGCTGTGAAGGATTCTGAAGGAAGGTGGGATTTGAAACCTAGTTAGATTTGGAAAAGGCAAGGTAGAGGGAAGATTCAGTCCTAGTGAACTTAGTGTTCTTTCTGTTGCTTTTTATTTTACCTCAGACTTGAGTTTGGGAGGTGTCCTTTTATTTCCTATTGATGATAAAGAGTCAAGAAATAGAGGGCAGGATTTGGTAAGTAAAAACCTACATCTCTTACTAGAACTAAAATTTGGCTTACATCAATTTCTCTTGAAGCCTTCCCTGTGCCCACTGGCCTCTCTTGTAGTATATTAGTTTGCTATGGCTGCCATAACAAAACACCACCAACTAGGGGACTTAAACAACAGAAATGTATTTCCTCACAGTTCTGGAAGCTACAAGTCCAAGATCAAGGTGTCAGCAGGTTTGGTTTCTTCTGGGTCCCCTCTCCTTGGCTTGCAGATGGCTGTTTTCTCACAGTATATGTGTATCCCTGGTATCTGTCCAAATTCCCTCTTCTTATAAGGATACCAGTCAGCCTGGATTAGGCCCCTCCCTAACCACCCCATTTTAACTTAATCATCTGTGTAAAGTCCTTGTTCCCAAATACAGTCACATTCTGAGATACTGGGAATTAGGGCTTCAAAATATGAATTGTGGGGGACACAGTTCAGCCCATAACAAGTGGGTGAGGCTACACCTTCCATTGTACTTCCCCTGTCCTGGACTTTGGTCCATGAGTCCCTGGAGCACTATCTGGAACACTGGGCCCCTTCTTAGTATGGGAGCTCCTATTTTTTTTAATCCCAGTATCCCACAGTACATTTACTGAATGAATAAGACATGACTCAAAACCCTAAGGGTTTCATCACTTGTTACATGAAAATTTCTGTAAAAGATTGTGTTTTCTAATCAGCCATAAGCAGTAGAGAGGAACCAATTCATGTTTCCTCTGCCCACATTAAAACCATTTTTGCATTTTAGACATCTCCCGCCTGTCTGTCATTTGGAACACCTGTAATGAGTTTTATTTACCACACCTACCTAACTTTCTCCAAGGCCTGGATTTATATTCAAATTTTGAGCCAAATCTTACTGACTTAGAAAAGAAGAAATTTAGAAGCCAGGCTGAAAGAGAGGTTCATTCTCTTAAGGTTGGTGGTCTGTGTGGCTAACAACAAGTGGTTTATGTTTATTTCATCATTTCTTCAGTTATTTCTAACTGAAAAGGGAGAATGACACAGTGTGCATAAGAAAATCAGAATCCAGAGAACTCTTTATAGTGAGTAGAGCACCATGTCCATGAAGTGACTGTGGTGCTGTCATCCCAGAAGCTCCCTTGACACTCTACAACTCTGTCCCACTTAGGTTAGGATAGGGTGGGTGATAACTTGGCATCTTGTCCTCATGGGAATTGTTTGAACAGAGATGGAATGACTGCCCGTCCTGGGTGTTGTGCCACTGACTCAAACATCAGTTACAGTGCTCGAACACAAGAACTTGTAAGATCCTTTCTATGCCTTTGATTCTGAAATTTTCTTTACCCTTGAGAGCATTAAGAAAGTACGTGTTTTGGACTCTGGTTCTCTGGTTTTAAAATATCTTAAAAGGAGGAAGAAAAGTCTATATAAAGTGACCATAAAATAAGATGGAATTATGATGGAGTGTGAATTCGTATGTGTAGTAGGACATTGCTGTTCAGGTGAAGCCTCCAAAAGAGATGGAGCTGAAGCCTGAGTGACCCATAAAGGGATATGTCCTCTCCATGAGCAAGTTATGTAGCTGACAATGTGGCTGTCTCATGTCATGCCGGTCATTAATGATGGTTCTTTCTAGTTGGCCTTAATTGTGGCTCAGCACCGTGATCGCTCCAATGTCCTGTCTGGCATTAAGATGGCAGCCCTAGAAGAGGGCCTGAAGAAGATATTTTTAGCAGCAAAGAAAAAGAAAGGTAAGCTCTTCCACCTGTGTTCAGAAATAGATGAATTTCAGTTTCTAGGCACTTGATACGACTTTTGAAGGAAGGTAAGAAATGTTAAGATCCCATTCAATATGCATGGTAAAGGTGAACTACTTGTACAGCCCTTTTTCCTTTCCAAAACACTTTTGTGTCCATTATCTCTGCGGATTATCTCCATCCACTGAGTATTTTTATTATGATTTTACAGATGGAGTAGAGCAGAGGACTAGAGAAGAAGTTACTTGGTCATATGCAGTTGGGAAATATCGTTTATTTTATCTCCTCATAGAGGGTCACAGTCCACAGTAACAGACAGTTCTCTGCCCAAAAAAGTAGTTTAGTTTCATTTCCAAACCCAATATGTCTCAGAGTTTATGGAGGTGATTGGGTTGTTAGGGAACCTTTGCTTATTTTAATTATGACTCCACCAATCATATGCTATTTCCATTATACTGAAATCCAGAGACTGTAGGTCCTTGTGTTTAACAGAATCATTTAATTTTGTTATAATTCCTGGCCAGGCATGGTGGCTCATGCACTGAAGCTGGAGGATTGCTTGAGTTCAGGAATTCACGATCAGCCTGGGCAATACAGCTAGACCTCTCTCTACAAAAAATGTTTTCAGAATTAGCTGAGCGTGGTCACACCTGTAGTCACAGATACTCAGCAGGCTGAGATGGAAGGATTGCTTGAACCCAGGAGTTCAAGGCTGTGATGAGCTGTGATCATTCTACTGCACTCTAGCCTGGGCAATAGTGAGACCGTGACTCAAAACAGACAAAACCAATATCGCCTTAGAATATTTTTGACATTATAGTTGTGTGGTTTGAGTGGGACAGGCAATAATGATTTTTCTCCCATCTATATCTTATATCCATCAGTTTTTCATTTTAATTTAGAGTTGTGGGGTACATGTGAGGATTTACTACATAAGTAAATTGCATACAGGTGAGGTTTGGGCTTCTAGCAAGCCCTTTCTCCCCCTGGTAAAAGACCTGGCATCTAGCATGTGGTTGTGTGCTCCTTATCCCTCCTTTCTCCCTCCCTGCTTTAGCAGTGTCCATTGTCAGTTGTTCCACCTTTGTTCTCATGTTTCCAGGGCTCGGGGCCCACTTATGAGAACATACAGTATTCAGATTTTTGTTTCTGTGATAATTCACTTGGTACCATGGTCTTTGACTACATCTGTGTTGCTGCAAAATACATTTGTTCTTCTTTATGACTGCATAGTATTCCATCATGTATATGTACCAAATTTTCTTTATCCAGTCCACTTTTGATGGGCATCTAAGTTGGTTCCATGATTTTGCTGTTGTGAATAATGCTGCAGTAAACAGATTCTGCCCATTGAGTATGATGTTGGCTGCAGGTTTGTCATAGATGGCTCTTGTTATTTTGAGTAATGTTCTTTCAATACCTAGGTGTTCAAGGATTATCAAGAAGGGATGTTGGATTTTATCAAATGCTCTTTCCATGTTAATGAGATAGTCATGTGGTTCTTGGTTTTATACCTGTTTATGTGGTTGATTCAATTTATTGGTCTACATATGTTGAAGCCCAGGAATGAAGCCCACCTTTTCATGATGGATGATCCTAGAAATGTTCTGTTGAATGTGATTTGCTAGAATCTTGTTGAGAATTTTTGCTTCTATGTTCACCAGGGAAATTTGCCTGTTGCTTTCTTTCCTTGGTAGGCTTTGCCATTGGGGATGCTAGGATGATATTCTTCATAGAGTGAGCTAGGGAGAATACTTTCCTTCTCAATTGCCTGGAATACTTTTTTTTTGCATCAGATTCTCACTCTGTCACCCAGGCTGGAGTGCAGAGAGGCATGCTCACTCACGGTAAAGCAACCTTTATCTGCTAGGTTCAGGTGATCCTTCCACCTCAGCCTTCCAAGTAGCTAGAACTAAAGGCACACACCAGCATACCCAGCTAATTTTTTTTTAATTTATTGTAGAGACAAGGTCTCACCAAGTTGCCCAGGCTGGTCTCAAACCCCTGAGCTAAGGCAGTCCTCTCATCTCTGCCTCCCAAAGTGCTGGGATTATAGTCATGAGTCACGACGCCTGGCCTGGAATACTTTCAATAGGATTGATATCAGCTCTTCATTGTACATCTTGTAGAATTTAGCTGAGAAACCTTCTGGTCCAGGGCTTTTTTGGTGGACAGGTTTCTTATTACTGAATTGATTTATTGGATTGTTATTGGTCTGTTTAGAGTTCCAATATCTTGCTGTTTTAATCTTGGGAAGTTATGTGATGCCACAAATTTTCCATTTCCTCTGGATTTTTTCATTTATTTGCATACAGATGTTCATAGTAATTTCTGATAATCTTTTGAATTTCTTCAGGGTCAGTTGTGACATTGCGTTTTTCATTTCTAATTGTATTTTTTTGAACCTTCTCTTTTTTGTCAGTCAGGTCTGGGGTCTGTCAATCTTATTTATCATTTTTGTCTTTTTGATCATTTCTATGATTTTTTTGGTTTCTATTTCATTCAACTGTGACTTTATTTTAATAATTTCAGTTTTTTAACTTATTCTGGGATTGAATTCCTCTTGACTTTCCAGCTCTCTTAGGTGTGACAGGCTGTTTATTTGAGATCCTTCTAATTTCTTGATATGTGTATGCAATGCTATACACTTCCCTCTTAACACTGATTTCATGGTATCCCAGAGGTTTTAGCATGTTGTCTTTGTTTTCACTTGTTTCCAGAAATCTTTTATTTCTGCCTTGATTTCTTTGTTAACCCAAAATTCATTCAGACCATATTGTTTAATTCCCATATATTTGTGTGTTTCAGGGGGTTGTTAGTGGTGGTGATACTTATTTTTATTCGACTATGATCTGAGAAGATGCTTGGTATGACTTTGACAATTTGAAATTTGTTCATGCTTGATTTATGCCCAAGTGCGTGATTGATCCTGGAGTATGTTCCATGTGCTGATGAGAAGGATGTATATTCTGTGGTTGTTGGACGAAGTGTTCTATAGATGTCTGTTAGCTCCACCTGGTCAAGTGTTGACTTAAGTTTCTCATTTTCCTTGTTAGTTTTTTTTTGCCTTAATTATCTTTCTGTTCCCTGACTGTAATTGTATAGCTGTCTATGTCCTCTCTTAATTAGCAATTTTTTTGTAAATCTGGGTGTTCCTATGTTGGGTGCATATATATTGAAGAAGGATATTTCTTCTGGTGGATTGAGCCTTTTTTTCATTATGTGGTGTCCTTCGGTGTCTTTTTTATTGGTTTAAAATCTGTTTTGCCTGTAAGATCTTTCACTAACACTTAACCTTAAGCCTGTGAGTTTGCAGTAAGATGGATTTCCTGAAGGCAGTAGAAAGATGGATCATATTTCATTATTCAGTTTGACACTCTAGGCCTTTTAAGTGGCATGTTCAGTCCATTCATGTTTTTGTTTTTGTTTTTTTTATGGACTGCATGGGAATTTATTTTGGTTCTTCTTTATCAGGAGATTTTGGATTATTTTCTTTTTTATCAATAATCCAATATTTTTAATAATTATTGATATATGGGACTTAGTCTGTCAAACTGCTTTTTTTTTTTATTTTTGAGTTGGAGTCTCACTCTATTGCCCAGGCTGGAGTGCGGTGGCATGCTCACGGCCACCACAGCCTCCACCTGCTGGGCTCAAGCAATCCTTACACCTCAGCCTTCCAAGTAGCTGTAACTACAGGCATGTGCTGCCATGCCAAGCCAAATTTTTTAAAATTTATTACAGAGATGAGGTCTCGCTAAATTGCCCAGGCTGGTCTTGAACCTATGGGCTCAGGCAGACCTCTCACCTCGGCCTCCCAAAGTGCTAGGATTATAGGTGTGAGCCACTGCGCCTGACCCTCAAACTGCTGTTAAGGGACTACTTTGGTTTTTAGGTTTTGCGGTTGATTTTTATGGTCTGTTAGCTCTGTGCTTGCCTGTGCTTTATTTATTTATTTATTTATTTATTTTTTAATTTTAAAGATGTGGGCTACAATTCAGGATTAGATATACAAGTGGTCATTGTACAGATCAAGTTTGGGTCTCCCGTTGGTCCCCATTTTGCCTGGTATGAGATCAGGTACCCTTATTGATGTTGTCTTACACCCCTCATCCCTACCCTGGCAGTATTCTGCTACTGCCAATCCCTTTCTTATGGTATTATGGTAAATGTTCAGGGTTCACTTATGAATGAGAACACGTGGTACTCTGTTCTTTGTTTCTGTGATAGATCACTGAGTATGATAGACTCTAAATCCATCCAAGTTGCTGCAAAGTCCATACGATTGTCCTTCTTTATGGCTGTGTAAAATTCCATTGTGTATATGTACCACATTTTTTTTTACAGTCCAGTTTCAATGGGCAGCACGGTTGGATCCATGTTTTTGCTATTGTGACTAATGCTGCGATAAACGTGTGTACAGGTATTTTTTTGTAGGATGATTTGAGTTCCTCCAGGTATATTTCCAGGGGATTGCTGGTTCATATGGAAGATAAATGTCTAGTTCTTGTAGAAATCGCCACACTGTTTCGCAAAAAAGGTTGCGCTAGTTTGCATTCCCACCAGCGTTGTAGAAGCATTCCTTTTTCTCTGCATCCTCACCAGCATTTGTTGTTGTTTTATTAATGATGGCCATTCTACTGGGGTTAGGTGGTATCTCAGTGTGGTTTTGATTTGCATTTCTCTGATGATTATTGAGGACAGACACTTTTTCATGTGTCTGTTGGCTGCCTGTAAATTTTTTGAAAAGTGTCTATTTATGTATTTTAGCCCACTTTTTAATGGGGTTGTTGTTTTCCTTTCGGCACATTTGACTTCCTTGTAGATCCTGGATGTTAGACCTTTGTCAGATATACAGTTGGCAAATATTTTTTATGATTCTATGGGTGTCTACCCAGTCTCTTGATGGCTTATTTGGCTTTGCAGAAGCTTTTCAGTTTCATGAGGTCCTACTTGTCTCTCTTCTCTCTTATGGCATGGCCACTTGGGTTTTG